ACAGTTTTCTCAGCATCTATATTGCATTTTGTGATCAGCATATAATTATGACTTTGCGAAAAACTGAAATCTAAGCTAACTATACACGGTCGCGATTTTTAAACAAGCTTAAAGATCAGTTACATTAATGCACTTTGGCATGAGTTTTTAGATGCGATTTTCTACTTTTGATAGATGAGAGCAAGTGGATAAGTTACGGCTGTTTACATCTGAGCACCTATAAATCAAAGCAAGCATAACTAATCGTTCGTTTACATCTATCAAACGAAGGTAGATAGGTAATCACATCACAGCGTAAACGGCCATTGAAAACAAGCGTTTATTTTTAAAATCGCGCAACATTTTACATCAACGGACGTTGCAAAGCACATCTTAATGAACATACAGCGTTTTTTTATACAAGATTTTTACAAATGCCATTAATCTTGTGAGAGATAAGTTGAGAAACGGTAAAAAAACGTGCGAAGTGATTCTATTTTGAACTACAAGTGCAGCGAGACATTTCGGCGCCGAAACCCGGCAGTGACTTCGAAATAGTTCCGTGTGGGGCCGTATACCGTATCAATCGTCGCGTGGCCCTGAATAGACGGGGATGAATCTCCTCAAGTATCGTTTTCCGTAGGGTTTTTTACCGTATAGTTGTTTATGGTCATTAAATATGGTCATTATTATTTTATATTTATGCTTCGCAATCATTTTAGAGAAAGTCTCGAATTCACAATTTCCGATTCGAGGATTTATTACCGCGAAATAACGAAAGGGCACAAAAAATGCGATTGCTAAAAATGCACAAGTTGGACACTCGTGAAATAAGTGGAGTTGATGCATGTGTTTTGTGTATTTTTAAAGCACATTTGTCTATCAACAGGTCATCCATTGCGCGCTTTATTGCGTTATGCGATTTTCAACTAGCACTAACAGGATTTGAGATTGGTAAAGCTACAGCCGAATTATAAAAAACAAGTGTTGCCAAATGATATAATTTATGAAATACCACGCTGTCAACATGAAACTCCTCGCAGACTTGCTGTATTGTAATACGGCGCAGTCATTTCACGCTGTGCTTTGTGCAGTTGTGCTGAAAGACTTTAAATGTTGAAAGCGTAGGAACAATGGTCTGTCTTGTTGTTTTTTATACTTCGTTTATCTTCGGTACAATCTTGATTTGCCTCACGCAGCGAGCGAGAACAATTACGAGATATAGTTTTGATAAATACTATTCTAGTCCGACCACATCTCCAATGGCTAGTAAATAAATCATGGACAGATCTATTTATTAATACTTGGTCACACCAAGATCGTAATCACATTTCAAATGGGGGAGTATCTTTAAGCCGCAACCACCCCCCCTGCATATTTTGTAGGCAAAACGATAGTCGGAGATTATAAGCTTTGAAATTCAAAGACAATAGTTCGACATATTTCGAAGCAATTTGTCAGAAATATAGCCATGGTATATATGGTATAATAAGTTAATGATACAATTTTATACATTAGAAATGCCCGTTATGATATTACCGCATAGACGCCGTATAAATCTATCACAAAAAGACCAACACGTCCTACTTTTTATCACCTGTTTACGTCAAACATTTTCATTCTGCGGCAGTTTAAAGCATTGCGAGACGGGGAACTAGGCAAAAAGCTACGATTTTTGGCAAAGACACGATCGTAATTTCTAAGACTCCAAATGTTTGCTTGAAAGAATTGCTCTCAATATAATGAGGTATTAAAGAATGCAAATAGAAAGAACTATATCATGTATTCTGCGATGATTGTAAAACAAAACTTCACAAGTCAAAAACATGCCGTCTGATTCGATAAACTTGTGTCTCATCGTTTATCAAAATCTCACTGCTGTAAAAATAACCGAGAATTGTCTTTCTTTAATCGTGAAATACCCATACAATTCTGGGTTAAGCTTTCTTTGCCAAGCATTATCGTTCCCCCAGCGTGCGGCCGTTTCAACCGACAGAGTTTTTGTGCAGACGCCAACGCAATTCTGTGGGGTTATACGCTGCTATAGGCCCACCGCTCAGCTAAATCCCTGTCGGCAAAACTATAGCGAGCAACTCAATATAGCCATAAGGACAAGCGTTAGAACGGGCGTGTGATATGGCGAAAAGCTGTCTGGTTTCGCTGGCTTTCCGTCTGCTATTACTTCTTGTCTGTTCATATCACGTTCACGGCGATGTTTATATGCACAATCCCAGAGGATCCAACGACAGACTGAATAGCCCTGGTCAAAATAGGCAGAATGGAAATCGTTTGTTCGACTCACAAGTAAGTAAACAGTTCGACCAGATATTTTAATAAAAGCACTTCGTATGAAACACGAATTGCATGGGAAATGTAAATTTGCATCAGAGTTCGTCGATTGCCATTACTGTTCAAGTAAGGGAAATTCACTTTAAGTTTTTTTTAACTATTTTACGTGGTTACGCAAGGGTAACTATGCTTTTTAATACGAACAATATCTTGACCTAAGCTCTTTGATTTCCTCTCATCTATCCTCAAACATTGTAGCTCTTATATATGATTACAGCAGCGATTCAAGTCCATTGAACCTGTAGTTCTAAGCGTGTTCATGATACGCACGCGGGCACCCTTAACCTCGATGACGCAGAGGTTTATACGTTAAAAAAAAGGTTTATACAAGCCTTGTTAATAAAACAAATTCCCCTGGCTGTATATTGCTGTCAATCAATTGCGTGAACAATGCGAGATTTAGTTGCATTTAGTTGTGAGGGTTTTTCTTCGACTATTTCTTCCCTTCGAAATCTTCAATATGCACTAACAACTTTTACATGCGCTAACAGCTTTTAAGATCTGGTTCATAGTTTTAAATATAGGCTACCATAGTTGGACGTGCGATAGATCCGGTCAGATTTAAAGATAAACTGGTTCCGTCATAATTCTGTTATAGAACAATGCTAAAGGTGGTTATAACGTTTGGAGAACTGCCTTATCATAACGGCGCTCACCAGCAAGATCTCCAATATTCCATGGTAAGATTGTATATATCGTATACCGATATGATAAACACATATTCAGTTTGCTTTTTCACCTTTTTGCAGAAATATTTTATGAGCGGCAGCAAGTTTATCTCGTCTCCTAAAAAAGCTGGTAAATCTCACCTAGTCATCGAATGGACAAGCCAACATGGTTGTGGTCATGGAGACCTCGATTGTAACGTTGTGTTGCAGTATATGTGTCAGAACGATCAGTTCGAAAGCTTCGATAGGCGTAAAGCCAGCATTGACACGATTCGCAATGGTATGTTAGTCGTTAGATTTCCGTTTAAAAAATCATCGATAACTATAGTGAGGAACTTAATTTTCATCCATCTATCTATTGAAACACTCAAGTTTTCGTCTGCATTGTTTTTTTCTGCAGAGTTAAAAAAGCAAAGGGTGTCGAGAGAAGCTCGAATATATATAATACTTTAACAAAACTCTCGGCATGAAAAAATTTGAAACTTAATTCTTACGCATATTTGTGGCATCACGAACCGAAAAACAAAGCGCTGATAGACTTTCTGTTTTACCGGCTTTTTAATTTGCCGCTGTTGAGGGCAAAGAAGTAGCTAATAAGTGCTTGAACAGTATCCGATCATTTTTTTCTTAAACGAAGTGCATGCACGACACTTTTGGCCTGCTTGAAAATATCACAAGAGCTGCGCAATTTACTAGTATATTTTAGGTAAAGGCAATTTTAAATTAGATATTAATTTTGTTTCTGCCATTGGAACATAAAACATATCTTATCTATCGAGTAACCGTGTAATTTTTGTTTATTATATCAACTAAATTCAGGGTGACAAAAAAAACGCAGGAAGACGACGTGGAAGTAAATAAGCCGCGGAACAACCATTATAAAAGCGAATATCTCTTTAAATTATAGCCTAAACATTAAAGTAGAATCGAAATTTTATTTATCTGAAGGAAATTAAAGAAATTGGCAATGAAAATTGTGGTAAAGCTTTGCGTGACATACTTCATGTATCGAAAATACACGAGCCTTGTCACGAATGTAGTAAGGTCTTTCATATGAGTTATAAGAATGTTTTAGTTTTAAATATAATACTATTATCGTGTTCTCATGCATTTACAGGTAAAACTGAGGGAACGATACCCTATAGAGCACATTCAGATGGATTTTTGGGGAACCCGGAAAATAAAAAGAATGTGAAAAAACAGGCTTCCAGACTCGAGTTTGGAATGCATGAACCCTGGGAATGGTACGATAAATGTTATCGAAGGCCACGGAATAAAGGTAAGCTCATTTCTCTGAACCTCGCATTTTATACAAGTTCGTTTCTTGCAATTGTTCCGTAAGAAAAGGTATAGCTATAGATATATTAGAGAATGATCAATTTAATCTGGTCGATCTAATCTGATTAATCTGATCTGATTAGCTTAATCTGAACTATATATACTCGTGATGTAAAGTAAGTTGGTTAATATCAGGTGACGGGTACGATCACGAAAGACCACCATAGTGGGTACTGAACCAGTTTCGATCTTTGGAAACAGCCTCTGAACAAGCATGCAGCCAGCATTTAAACATTCCTATGCTTTGAAATAACCAGTTAATTAATTAACTGACTCCACGAATTAATTCACGATTTCACTGATGATTTAAAATTTAGTTTGTTTATCATTTAACTGCTCCACGCTTCTGCTGTATATAGTTAGGTATAGCGAGTGTTTTAAAACTCCTTATTTTTAACAAACGGACACCTCCATCCATTTTTTAGAATTGATGTATACCCATGCAATGCTACTGTAAATTTAAGCCCGGTTGTATAAAAGACTAGTTAACTTTAAACTGTATAGTTAAGGACAGAATTGGCAAATCAGAGTTGCGTGTATTTCAGAGTTAACTAGGATTTAACTATGCAAAATGTCGTTAAAGAGTTTTATACAACCGACCCCAGCACCATGATATTACTGCCAAGTAAAATGAACTGATATGAGATCTTCTCTTTGTCTGAACAGGTTTGTTTACAGCAGATCAAAATGTAAAAGACGACCAAGGAAGTACAGCGACTAGACAAGATCCGAACGGTGGTAACGCCGGCCGTAATGGCTACGAATGTCCAGAAGAACGCGATTATTTTCCCTACTGGCATCCGAGCGATTGGAAAGATATAGCTGTTTATGTTACCAACAAAGAGCATTGTGATTTTTACAAGCATTTTAGTTTTAATCGACACCCAAAAGGTACAAGGCACGACTAGGCATATAGTAAAGGTCGAATAACTTTGCCTTTTTGGATTGAAGCAGGCTTCCACGCTTATATTTTGCCGAGCTCAAGTATAGAGAAAACTTTTTCTCGTTAAGGCCAAGGCAAAGTTGGTTAGTTTATTATGATTTGTATCGTTTAATGGTGTATATTTTCCACAGGAGAATGTCTGGAGAAGTATAACGGCGGCGAAAAGTTCAAACATTATTCAAGATACAATAATCCCACTGACTGCAAAGCAAATGGAAAAGATTGGATCGTTTTCCGCAGTTTCATTGATATAAAAGACGAATACAAAAATAAGGCGAGTTGTGAGCAAGCGACGACGAAGGATGTCCCGCTTGTTTGGGGCGTTCCGTACAAATCCGAACTCGTAGATAGTCTTGAATTAGACCCAGTTACCAAGAAACCCAAAGAGTTCTGTCTGGTTCAACCACCTGAGCTTGACTGTAAAGTGTCCCCTGTCTCGCGTCCAAATCACCTTGGCAACGTCGTGGATTCGTACGCCATGAACTACACTTGGATTATTCCGTATTTTCCTTCACAAAACCAGAAACGTTGTGTAGTCCGAATAAGATACAACATCTCCACGTATGATTACGATGGGAATAAGACCTTCAGCGATAAAAATGGGGCCCAAAAGTAAGTGAAAAACTGAAGATATCTTATTTACAACCGTCATATACCATTCTGTCGAACTTACTGTATAAAGTAGATTAATTAAAGCACTCTTTCTATTTCATTCACAGTTCACCTGTGACAAATGACCCTAAGGTCGCGTTCAAAAATGATTTGGGAAACGACTTCGACTTGCAGTTGGCAGTCAATACCGCTCAATTCGGCAGAACTTTTCAAGACAGAAGCCATGTTATGATCTTGATGGCACGAACAAACAAGATATCGGACGATGTCGCAGTGTATAATCTTAATGTCCGTGGCAAACGAGGAAATATTGTTCAGGTTTACCCTGCCGTGGAGTATGATTTTGTTCCGAAGTCTCTCTATGTCACCAGTGACGATATAGTTCACATTCAATGGACAGGTAAAATGCATCACCATTGACAAGCCTCTGTGAATTTCGAAGCAAATTTCTTTAAATTTATATGCATTTAAACCTCTTGTATTCACACTATCTCTGTTATTATTGTCATACACATAATAGCTTTATCGTATAGACATGAAAACTGGTTCGACATTGTAAATTTTTAGACCAGTACTCGCATCTCAAAGTGGGTAGTATTTAGTATTGCTAACTATTATTCAGGCAAGCAATATAGAGTTTTCATTTTATGCTCAAAATTCAAGATTTCTTATTATTTTTAAATATTTTGATGGTTTCTTAAGGCTCAACACGAAATCCTGGGAATAATGACGGTGAGGGAAGAGCGGGTAAGTATCGTGGATAACAACAAAAATAAATGTAACGATAAGAATGCAAAATACCAAACTAAAATACATTTTCTATCAGGTACTGATAAGAATAACATGGTCGAAATTGATGATTCGGGAACGAATGTGAAATTTAAGGAAAACAGCCAAATGATTCGCAGTGCAACGTTGAAGTGGACGCCGGACATTCAACTGAAAACTATGGAAGACGTCGCTGTGGCTCTCGCAACGTCGGGATTTGATTTCACTGGAGGAAAAAATAATAGATTAGGTGAGAGTGTACTAGTAGTGAGTTTACTGGACCGAAATACAGTATACTGATAATATACTATACTCTACTGTACCGCACAAGTACTTTATTGTACTTCGATGTACTCTACTGTACTCTAATGTATCGCACAAGTACTTTATTGTACTGCAATTTACTCTACTGTACTCTAATGCACCGCACAGGTATCTCACTTTATTGTGCTGCACTTTACTGTACACCAATGTACAGCAGTGTACTAAACTGTATTGTACTGGATTGTACTGCGCTGTACTACACTGTACTATACTGTACTGCACTTGTGCCTCCTACGCCACCATGTTTCAAATTAGAATTTAACTAAAAGTCATTTCTTTAAGGTGTATCCGAGAACCGAAGACTAAACTTTCAAAATCAACTTGATAACTCGCCTGCTTCCTTCGGGACTGCCCTATCCTTCGCGCCAGGCTCCTATAAATACATGTGCACGAGGAATAACAACTTCAGCAATCGTAATCAAAAAGGAACGATCATAGTCACGGCCGGTACGAACAAACCTTCGCCTGGTAACAATGTTTTAGGTGGGGTGAGGGCGCCTCCTGGTTCCAATTCTGTTGTGACCTCTCGCCCTGCGGTAACAACACCCGCCCCTACAACCCGCTCCACCACAACCCCGGCACCCCCCAGAAGACGCCGTTCTCGACGTCGTCGCATTAGACGTCGTCGTGTAAGACGTCGTCGTGTAAGACGCCGCCGTCGTTCGCGTGGTTAAATCGATTCCAAAAGTGGTTAAAGTGTTATTTCTGCCATTTTACTATATCCAACATATTTTTCACATTCTACAACACGTGCCGGTGACTTAGCCTTCAAATAATACGTTTCACAGTACCTGAAACCAATTCAAATATTCCTATTCTAAATTCAAACAGAACCATGCACTCATTTTTAATTATCGTCCACTCTTGCTTATGTCCCCAACGAAAGAATTTTATCAATTCAAACTGCGCGGAATTGTAGAGTATATCCTGGGGTTTTTTGGCGAGAAAAAGCTTCTCTTTCAGTAACTTTTTTTTGGCCAGAAAAAGCCCCTCCTTCTGTAACTTTTTTTTCTGTTTCTCTAGAATCGCTTCGCTAAGTCCAAGCACATTCTCACCAAGTATGCAATTGCACTTTTATGTATGGCATCAATGTACTGGAATGGCACAAGTTTAGCTGCTATAGTAGTAATTTAAAAAAAACGAAATATATCACGTTTTGAATAAAGTTGTTTTGTAACAAACGTGTGTGATTTCATGTCTTCGCTTTGAACTAAATCTTTAGCGATTTAATATCGCGTCGCTGGAAGTCGATATATTGTGGTTTGCACCTTTAAATGCAAATGAAAAATTAACCGTCAGAAAAGTATTACAATGCCCTGCCGTTCTTACTATGAAAGTAAAAACATGAAAAAAACAACTTAAAAAGGTCCTATAGGTACATGGATTACATTGACTTTTAAATGCGATCTCTCAAGTTCACAAGCAGACATGTTGTTCTAATCTGAAGGAAACATCTCTAAATTCGGTGCTTTCCTCTAATGAAGGCACATTTCAGAAGAAATACAGACATATTTCAAATTGCAATCCGACTCCACGTCTCATAAATGAAATCCCTCCACATCTTTCGGTTCTTTAACTCAGGCGTATCTCATAAACAAACCTTTCTGATACAAACTCTAGAAAGGCACCAACACAAGCATCTCTCTAATGCAGGAACTTCTCTAACACACATCTACCTGCGATATCCATAATACAAACCCCTCTCTCTAACACACATCTACCTGCGATATCCATAATTCAAACCCCTCTCTCTGATATACATCTACCTGCGATATCCGAAATTCAACCCCTCTCTCTAATACACAACTACCTACGATATCCATAATTCAAACCCCTCTCTCTGATACACATCTACCTGCGATATCCGAAATTCAACCCCTTTCTCTAATACACAACTACCTACGATATCCATATTTCAAATCCCTTTCTAATACACACATCTCTCGCAACAAACAACTCGCGTATTCAAAAGCCTTAGCACAGATCAACCTCATACTCAGAATTGTTTCTGAAAATCCTGGGTACGATGTTGAGCACACAGACTTAATAACAGCACACCTGTTATATTACACTGATAAATCTCGCTTTTAGAATCACTCCCTAAACAATGGCTCATCTACAGGTATCGCTACCGGTGAGAAATTGATCGATGGCATTCTTCCAATCAACATTCCATATACATTGCTTCTACCCATTTCAAGTCTTCTCATAAAAATCTTCTCCCCCCCCCGGTAAATTTCTGCGTGGAATAAGGCCGGCAATGTCCTGCTGTGCTGTCGCATTTGAGGGTAGACGGTATACTGTATATTTATAGTACAACCCACCGACGTCTAGAATATTTTTTGGGGGTTGAATAATTTACCCCGCTCGCAACGTGATATTTTAAAAAAGAGTCAACGTTGACCTTCGTTTGAGATAAGCAGACAAGTCGGACAATTTAGCTGAAGCTAATTGCTTTCCAGATCACCATAAACTATTTTTAACGATTAAATGAGCTTTAGAAGTAAACCACTCAGATTAATTACATGAACACCAGGAATCCTAAACTTTTTTAGGAATTTAGGGCTTTCAAACCCACGCCAAGGTCGAGTCTTTGCCGCGAAACAATTAAAACTCGATTACGGTTTGATATCGTTGCATTATCGCGTGACAGCGTGTAGGAACAATGCTTCAAAACAATGATCCATCTTCTTTTGAAAATGGCCCTTGATTTTTTTAAAACCGTCTGTCACCCACTCGTCTCAGTTTACAAAAACACGTATATATGCTGCATCTTTTCCTACATTCTGCATCGAATTTTCCAAAACACTTCACGACAACTCGCTGTTAACAAGCAGTTAACTGCACGGGATTAACTGGTTTGAGCAATATTTCCTGTATATTTCAGGCTCTCGCTACAGCTGGCTGGGCGAATAAGTATTTGCGAATTAGTTGCCAAAGAAATCGATTGCTTCGGGAATACTTTTGTCATTGAGACAATGAGGGTGATTCCTTTGGTGAAAATATGCAGCGTAGGCCGGAATCAATTGTCCGATAAAATCAAAGTCCTAATCTCATTTAGATATAGCGACGCTTATATAACTATAAAAACAGAATTGTTGATAACATCATCGAAATCATCTCTTTGTTTCACTATAAAGAAAATGTAGGATTTAAATGAATGATTCTAAAATTTATCATTTAAGTGCTTGGTAAATTTACGATTTTCTGAACAAAGTCCACATTTTTTTGTCTTAAAAAATGAAAAGATTAAATCATATATTTATCACTCTCAATCTGTTGACCAAAGTTAAGCAATCATTAAGTTTCCTATCACGAATTTTTTAATACCTTGTTCTAATCCAATTTTTACAAGTAAACAAGTGTATTCGTGCCCAGATGTTCAATCCAATGACCTTGCATGATTACATAATGCGTAGGAGCTGCTTTGAATACTATTAATGCACGGCTAAGTCATAAAACAGCCTAAAATATTGACATCAGTTTTCGACTAATACTGCATCCATGTTTTCGTTCTTCGCCTATCAAAATAAACGATTGAAAGGAATATGACTATATATGTGCTTTAAGGCATCTGCAATCCATGACATTTGAAGAGCAAAAAATGGAGGCGTTTATATTGTTTCATAGCCAATTCAATTTCACATGCAGATTACGTCCTGCTGTTAGGCTGGTTGTTCTTTATTTACACTCTGCGCGGCCCATACTGAGGATTGTAAGAGAACCAATATCGACAGGGCTTGTTGGGGCAAAAGCTCGTCATCAAGATGAGGTGGTTTAAAGTCCTTGCTTTTCTTTCAATTTTGGCCTCTTTGAATCCAGTCTGTTGTGATATTTATATGCACAATCCTAGAGGATCAAATAATCGCTTGAGATCAGCAGGCGTGAACCGACAAAACAACAATCGAATGTTTGATTCTCAGGTGAGTATATCGCTGGAAAAAATGACGAATAATTTAAAAGTAGCTGTTTAATCGTTTGGAATATATCTGGAGAAAAACCCTACTAAATCGGATACCAATTACATACACGCATTTGCGTGCTGGTCCAGAGTGCACGCATGTTTACCATGTACTGATTAAAACAACGATAAAGTAAAAACGTTTATTAGTTTGACTGTTTTTATATGTTAATTTGTGCCTGTGATATTTAAGCCCCGACGAATTTTCTTGACCAGTTCACTTGCTCGTGTGTATGACGAACAAGTTTTTCTTGACAAGTTTTCCTTCCCAAGTTTTATTTTCCCATGCATGTGTGCGAAAAATTCGGACAAATTTTTTTTGACAAGTTTTACGATAATGTATCTATGTCGAGTATATTTTACGACCGTATGATAAAATGAGTATACGACCGAACCTTAAAACAAACAAAAATGATAAAACTTCCAATAAGCGCTAAATTGTCTCAAAGATATTGTTGCGCGGTTCCCTACTGGCAGTGGAGAATTCCTTGTCAAGTTTTCCTTGACCGCCGTAGACACGAGCAATTTTCCTTGCAAATAAAACTTGGCAAGAAGAACTTGCCTGTCTGTACGGGGTTTTAGAAATCCTCGCAACCTTTAATTTACAGCAATGTTTTTAATCGCTTGTTTGGAAAATATCTTTTGCCATGAATATTTTCTCGACCTCGCACTAGTGGATTCAAATTTAACCGTGCAGGGTTAGCGCTAACTCAGCTTTGAAAAACTGATCCCTGAACTAGTATTGTCACGAATCGTGTATATGTATTCGTATTTATACCCACGAAGCAAATTTAGTTCCCGTTAGTTGTTTGGAAGCGAAGTGTACGCACACTTCTCAAAGAACTTTAATTATATAACTAGTCTTTTTCTTATTATTCAAGAATTAAGAAATAGTAAACCTTTTTCCAGTTTCGATTTCAGAATTAGTCCCCTAAGACGAGTTTTTTTGGGGGTTTTTTTGTTGATTACAAGCCTATATATATTACAATACACGCTTCTTTACCAATTGTTACGCGCGTACTATAAATGTTATATTGTATTTCTTCACAGAACAATGCCAAAGGTGGTTATAATGTTGGCGAAAAGGGTGCTTATCCAAATCATCACGAACATATGCAGTATCACATGGTAAATTCATCACTGACATTGCTACATAATTGCATGAAATTTCGAATGAGAGTTCAAAATAGTCTACTGTCACTGACCATAATCGTCAGTTAAAAATGCTGTTGGGAACTCTTATACTGCTTAAAACAATCTTAGTAAGGTCGAATATACCGTAATAAGGTATACATGTATTTAACTTTGATAACGTCGAATATATCGGAATATGGTATAGTCAACCATAGTATATGGTCTAGTATACCGTAATCTCTTATATAAGGTTTTGAATTTAGTTTTAAAGAGAGAATAGCGAACATTTACGTTCAATATAAGTTCTATATAAATTATATAGTTTAAACCGAGACACGTACGTCATTATCAATATCCTAGTCGTTATTCGGTTTCCTGTACAAGAGTCTCCATGAGTCATTTCTGTGTCAAACAAGATGAATAGATCATTTTTCTCTAGTCAGCAGTATGCTTATCGAAGGAAATTTCTCTCTCGCTCTTTTCTCCTAACTTTAGAAATATTTAATGAGCGGTACAAAGGGGAAAGGTTCGACGTATTTGAACATCGAGTGGACGAACCAACACGGCTGCGGTGATGGTGACCTTAATTGTCAGATTGTTTTACAATACATGTGTCAGAAGCATAAAGATGAAGATATTGGAAAAAATCACATTCCCGAAAGAAAGAGAAACGGTAATTGTTAAAATTCACAGTGAAAAAATACCCTTATGCAGTATATATTGTGGAAAACCTTGAGCCGGCCAAGCCGAGAATATTACCTCCTGTCTATCCAACCTAAGTCATAACACAGCTCATGTTTGGTCACTCGTCGGTGACGTCCGACAATATAAGTTTATAATCATCGTGATATAATGAAAAATTAGCTTCAAAATGAGCCTGAGTCTTATGGACTATTAGCTACTATCACTTAAAGACGCGCAGATATGGAAGGGACTAGTTCATTTCCGAAATATTAACTACTCGAACCGTCTTGACCTAGTAGCTCAGTTGGAAGGGCATTGGACTAGCAAAACAAAGATCGCGGGTTCGATTCCCACCGTGGTCAAGCTAATTTTCCAGTTTACCCGGTTGATGATTCAGAGCACTTTCGTCACAATATTTCATTTCATATACCTGAGTTTTATGCGCTATTTCTAATATAGCTGTCGTGATTGTTTCATTTTGATATGTATGGATTGATAAAAAGCTTGAAACTAATAATCTTTGGATGTTCTATTGTTCTTACAGGCATTACTGAAGCTACACCACTCTATCGACCTCACAATCCATTTCAATATAAATGGCAGAAAGATAGAGAAGAACGGATTCATTCACAGCACAGTAATTATGGGCTTAATGAGCCTTGGAATTGGTATGACAAATGCAAAAAAAGATCTCGCAATCGTGGTAGGTATTTTATAACTTTCTAGCTCTTTTACAAGTCTAGGTCGGTGTTTTTACGCAGTTACATGAACTGTGCTTTTGAAACACCTCATGGCTTCTCTTATAATGACTGACCTTCTGGATTTTTTTACCGCTTTCCCGATAACTTGCCCGCATCCATTTTCCAAACTGCAAATGCCTGAATCCTGAATCAATCCGGGGCTAAACTCAAGAGCACACCGTAATTATTAGAATAAATTATTCCCTAAAACAAACGCCGCCCTTGAATGAACGCCTTACTCAAATATTCGCGGTACCCAAATAAACACCGGCGCTTATTCGAAACATTTATTTATTACCACCGTTAGCAATCCAAGTAGTAATTTTAAAGAGAAGGCTGCTATAGCTCTCCAGAGGTTTGGGAGTCTTTGCCTCTCGTGAGGATTTTTTATACAAACAAATAACAAATAGATCATTGGCTAAGTACTTTACTAGCAATATAGTAGAGGTGAATCCACTAGTCCACTAATTTGCACTAAAAAACAAAGTGGTTATTTTAGCAGTTTTCTTGTGTCATGCAAACTAGTGCACAAATAACAAATAGATCATTGGCTAAGTACTTTACTAGCAATATAGCAGAGGTGAATCCACTAGTCCACTAATTTGCATTACAAAACAAAGTGGTTATTTTAGCAGTTTTCTTGTGTCATGCAAACTAGTGCACTATAGTGCTGGTCAACCCCTGGCACACAGTATAACGTTTTGAAGCGTTTTCATTTTCGTTTTCATTCCCAAACGGTTTCAAACACTGTTAATTTAAAATATAACTTAAAGCTAATCTAACATATTGAACATATTTCTCTTGGATTGTGTGTCCAAGGCGTCAAAACCGATGAACTAGGCAAAAACGATTTTGAAAACGCTCGGATATTTGTTTTTCGTGCGACAAAACAGGAGCATAGACCTTATGAACAACATTCATCGAAGCAGTTGACTGTGAATTGTCAATTTTCTCTTTACCGCTGTCAAAACATACGACGCAAACATACCAGCATATATTTGCTCTTCTGGATCCCAGCAAAAACTGATTTGGGATGTTTCTCTTTTTTCTGCAGGTTTGTTTACAGCAGATCAAAATGTTAAAGATAAGATAGGAAGTACGTCGACAAGGCAAAATCCGAACGGCCAACGAAGTGGCTACGAGTGTCCCGAGGAACGAGATTATTACCCATACTGGCATCCCAGTGACTGGGTTGATATCGCAGTATTAGTGGACAAAAAATCTGACTGTCCATACTACCAGAGAGAAAGTTTCAATGTTAAAGAAAAAGGTGAGTGCACGGGGCATGGTTGGGATGTAGTCCGTCAGCAGGAACGTGCCTTGGTTCTCATTCCAGCGAGTGCTAAGAAAAACTCTCATAGTGGAAGATTTCAATTCCAAATATTTTTCCGACAATAAACCGAACTTCTTATCAAAGAATTTTATTATATACAAATTTGTTGGTAGCATTTACTCAAAGCAAATTCGTAAACTATGCACACTAAGGTGCCGGAATCCGATTCATTATTTCGCAAAATAAAAGACCTCACTTCTTCCCGTCCCAAAGTTCCGAAGATAAACTATCGCTTGTGAGCAACCAGAAAGGCTCTGAAATGGCGGGAAAAGACTGGGAATTGTGAAAAAATGATCAATTTCTTGGCTAAAACAACTCGATATTTCTTGAAATATTTCGGTTTCAAATTTATGTCGGAGCTATATAGGTTTTAAATAACTAAAGAAAACAACAAACAACAACAACAACAACAACAACAACAACAACAACAACATTGTTTATAGATTGATAAAGAGTGAAAAAGAATATAATAGATTGAAAACAGAATGGTTTCTATTTCGACAAGCCTGATTAGTTAAAATATGAGTCCTAGATCACCTTGTGCGAAAATTATGTTTTGAACCTACGCAGGAGAATGCATGGAGAGGTATGAAAAAGACCGTGGAAATTACAAACACGATTCGAAGCACAATAACAGGCAGGATTGCGCGAGTCATGGCGGGCTTTGGGTGAACTTTCACAACTATTTGGAGAAGATGACGCAATACACAGACGAAGGCAGTTGTTCCCGAGCAGGTTATAAGTGGGGCTATGGTTATCGCTCGGAGGACTTTGAAGATATGAGGAAGTTTTGTTTTGTCCCTCTTGAAAAGCCCGAATGTGAGTTGGCTCCATATTCCCGTTCTAATCACCTTGGAAACGGTGCTGGTATCACGCCATTGACCTACAAGTGGAAATTACCAAACTTTCCATCGAAAGAAGAGCAAAGATGCTTTCTTCGTATCAGGTTTGGTCACCTTATTTCGTGCGGTGTTATCCATTTTGAACTCAAAGTTTATGGGAGTACGTGTAATTGTCTGTAAGAGTTGATGAGAGATGATGAGATTCGATGAGAGATGAAGAGAGATGATGAGAGATGATGAGAGATCATGAGAGATTATGAGAGATGACGAGAGATGATGAGAGTTGATGAGAGATGATGAGAGTTGTGAGAGATAATGAGAGATGATGAGAGATGATGAGAGATGATGAGAGATGATGAGAGATGATGAGAGATGATGAGAGATGATGAGATTTGATGAGAGATGATGAGAGATGATGAGAGATGATGAGAGATGATGAGAGATGATGAGAGATGATGAGAGATGATGAGAGATGATGAGAGATGATGAGAGATGATGAGAGATGATGAGAGATGATGAGAGATGATGAGAGATGATGAGAGATTATGAGAGATGACGAGAGATGATGAGAGTTGATGAGAGATGATGAGAGTTGTGAGAGATAATGAGAGATGATGAGATTTGATGAGAGATGATGAGAGATGATGAGAGATGATGAGAGATGATGAGAGATGACGAGAGATGATGAGAGATGATGAGAGATGATGAGAGATGATGAGAGATGATGAGAGATGATGTATGTTCTCCATCGTTAAAAAAAATACACTCTTATTTATCTTCTATTAAGGGAGTTTACAGTCTCTGCAACTGAGATATAAATAAATAATTTTCTCTGTGTATATTTTAGGTACAACATCTCGACGAACGATCCTCTGTAAGTAGATTAGATAATATATTATAATTGGGCTAAGGTGTCGCTCCCGTTCAGTAAAAAAGGTGTTTATTGTCGTGCCACTTAATAGACTTCTTGCAAGTTTCCCCACGGTAAAAAAATAGCTGGAGAAAATACAAAGACTTGTTAATGTTCAGTAGGAATATGGCTAATTCTTTGCTTAAGTTGAACGTTTCTCTTTAACATTTTAGCAATAAAATAACGCAAAACCCAACTGTGGAATTTTTAAACAAGCTCCCATTGCGGTTGGCAATAAACACAGCACAATTCGGGCGAACATTTCAAGATCGGTCACATATGTTCTTATTGACGTCACGTGATAAGAACGGCGTATCAAATGATGTCAACATTCATAATGTTAACATTCGTGGGAAAAGAGGAAATATCGTTCAAACTTACCCAGCCGTTGAGTATGATTTTGTCCCAAAGAGATTGACGGTACCAACAAACGATGCCATTCACGTCCAGTGGACAGGTAACAAAATGTAGTTCTGGGAATAGTTCTGATGACGATGACAATGACGGTGACGATGATGATGATTCTATTATTTAGGTTCCAACAGCAATCCGGGCGGCAATGACGGACAAGGAAAAGCAGGTATATGTCGATAAATTAAAATCACAAAATCTTTATATTTAGCACGTCCTTTAGATTTATACACCAAATGATTTCTACCTTGTAATTCACCGTGTCTTCAAATTTTTTTCACTTCCAGGAACAGACAAAAATAATCTCGTGGAAATGTATTACGCACCCTACAGTGTCCCAATCAGTTCGCGCATGCTCCAAAGCGCAAATATCCTTCACAATTTCGTTGGGGGATCCAAAAAGTTCGTAGACGTCGAAGCAAGTCTAGCCTCAGCTGGTTACTACAAAACTTCGAAAAATGCTGTCGATAAGGCTCCGCGTCAGTTAGATGACGAGTTGAACAACGCCAGTCCATCGTTCGCTGGTATTTTAATGAGTTGGAACAGTCCAAACATCTTTTATTACATGTGCTCTCGAAACAACAACTTCACTAATCGCAGTCAGAAAGGTCGTTTGATTATCAGCAAGAATGAGAGCGGTTAAAACTGACTGAATGCACCTTCTTTATCTATTATAGATCAGTTAAGATTATCTGAAGTCCAAAATTCCAAAAGTCCAGATTGTACAACCCATATAATCTTTTTATAAACACGCTCCGAGTATATTTTTCCGAGTTTTTTAGGGCTAAAACTGCTTTCTTTTTGAACAGACATTTATTCAAAACACGGTATCGCCGAGTAATTTCACGATCATAACATTTGCAGTTCCGAAAACTGCAAATCGTGTTCCCTTCAAGATGTTTAGTTCTTCCGAGTAATATTTTTACAGATACAAGATAAAACATAATATTGGTGGCACGGTTTTCTGACATTTTCTGCAATTTTGGCTTCTGACTTTCAGACTTCCAGATTAAACGAATAGTATAGTCTAATTCCCTTTATGCACCACGCTATTGCTGTTTTTTTTTAACACATATATTCTTGATGATGTAGCTAACTATTGATGCATAAATGTTCAATTATACTGCAATATATTTTCAACAATTGTTTCCTACTATTAAATTAATATAGCCACCCGGATAAGCTCGACCCTTGAGAACAATAAATCCCTCGTACATAACGTGCTGCGGCTCGGAATCGCCGTATATTTTCTGCTCACATCGTATTGCGGGCTCTTTAAAATAAATATGGCGGGTGTTTCAAATGTGTTCAGAATTCTATAGTGCTTGGAGTGCTAAAACTTTGACATGATTTTTCATCTATTCAACCGTCCTATGGACGAATATCACACTTTAGATAAAAGCATCTCTAAAACACCTTACCATTGTATAGATATTATTCATTGAAATACCGCTAACTATTAAATGGTAGCCACTATATACCATAGATTAGCAATATTGCTTCGTATATACCATTTGTGGTATTGCAAAATGTTTGGACAATCTGCCTAGTAAAGTGTGGTCGATCATTACGCGATGGTTTGGAATCCTTTTGATCGTTTTAGGCTGGGGCATAATACATTATAAAAGGTAAGCGATATTTAAAATTCTGATTCTAGCATGCAATGATTCCAAACGGCATTCATGCATGTTTTGACTTATATTGTTTGTGGTAGTAATTGGGTCTGGAAGGACTAAAAGGTGGATAGTCTTTGGAATAAGTTGTTGAGGATCATATCATAACGGGGTAGTTCTAGGGCAGCTGTGACAAAGCACCTCAACGCATGCACCACCCCTTCACTTAACGATTGCATTAAAAACTTACTGGTTAAACGGCTAGTTGTATTAAGGGCGGAAGCTTTGTCTGCGATGAAAACAGCTTCATTAAATATGAAAATTTCACATCCTCTTTTCATAGCAAGATTAATATTGTGGAAAGAAATCCATAATAACGAGGTAAAAAAAAATGATAAACAAGACTGTCAAGAGCCACATTACAATTCGCCGCTTTTACTGTGTTTGATCAGGCGCTTTTGCTAATATCGTTTCGACAAAAGGCTCGATAATTTAACTAGATCTATTAACAGATATATTTGTGTATGATTTCGCAATTCCTATGTTTTTTTATTAATATCAAAAGCTGAACAAGTAATGAAAGAAATTAGAATCATCTTCGGTGTCAGTGTAATCATATTTTAATTATAAGATGAAAAATCCGAAACAATAGTTGAAGCGGCACATTTTGTATGACCAGTTGCTGTCGTTTATATATGTCCACAAAAGAATCGATGATTTAATAAGTATGGACAGGTATGATGTCGTATTGTCAAAAAGATCTAGCTTTATTGAGCCAGCTTTAACGAGCTAGCTTTATTGGCGTATCCAAAACATCGATATAGTTAAGACTTCGTCTCAGTTCCAGACGATTGTGTACTTTTGAAGCTCGATAGCTGCGCGTTGCTAGCCCTCTCTCTAAATGTAAAGCAGATTTATCAAAGAATTGCAATGCAATCCATTGAATTGAATTGATTTGAATTGAAAATTAAATTGAATTGAATGGAATTGAACTGAATTGAGTTGAATTAAATTGAATTGAGTTTTAAAAATTGAATTGAACTGAATTGAGTTGAATTGAATTGAATTGAATTGAATAGCCAGACTTTTTTACCCCCTCGTGACGTCCCTAGCTGCAAAAAATATATCTGCCTCCCTTCCTTTGTCGCGGCGCTTTCGCGAATCACGACTGAGTCGAAAATTAAACAGCACAATCAATTTTTGCTTATACGAATATATTTCAACCATTGCAAGATTACGCGTAAATACAGTCTCAATATTACGGTGCACAATATTACAGTGAACATTATTAAAAAGTATATTGTTGAAGATCGATAACTTGTAGTGCTGAACTTGATATAAATTTCGACCATACAGACCAAATTTACCTAAAGTTTTATTGTTACATTGTGTTTATTTGTGCTAAAATATGTTCTAACTCACTAACTGACGGCCGGTTTTCATTGATTCGTAATTGTCGTGGACATGTCAAGGTGGTGGTGAATTAGAATATTTCTATGTGTGTTTGCAGTTAAAAATGACAATTTAAATACAAAGAATAAAGAGAGATTTAGAATTGGACTATTTCGCATTGGTAAAGATGGCTTGTTTACGACAATTACAATTAAACGAACACCTTGGTTTGTGAGAGACTAAATAACAAATATGGCTATATGCCGGTCTTTGAAAAACGTATTTAGGTATTCACTACATCGCGTGCAAGATTAAATTTTATAAGTCAAGTGAATTTCAATACATCCTCTTGGAGCTATTTCAAGCCACGATGAGACGAGCTTTCTGGCTACGGTTTGAAAAATTATTATTTCGGGTGCACATGAAATAGTAGGTTCCTCTGCTAAGTTGAAGGAGAGGAGCACTAAAAGATGGCGGGTAATAATCAAGTTCCGCGTAAGCTTTAAGCTTAGTTTTGTGGTTTCGTTGAAAATTGAAAACAGACATTACTCTCTCTGTCTTGAAGTTACCGGCGGTTGCAAGCAATACTGCGAGGTCCTTGCTTGTCGTTGTTGTCGACTGGGTCTTGGGATCCCGATAAACAATTTTGGCATTCTGCATCATGCTACCTAATTCGGTCGATGGATAGCTAATATCCGTCGACGCCATCTGGACGATGTTGTGACGATCCGTGCCTGGATTTGAAATATAAGGAGATCATTACAAATTTTCAGCAATTATTTATGCAGTGAAAGGTTGCCAAAATGGCAAAAAAGTGCACAAGGTTTTGTAAACGTTTGCAAGACAGCTAAACTTCGCAATTTTAGTTATTTTACGAATTTTTTAATATGGCGTTTGAAGCTTTGGTGTTGGGTTTAATGAATTATATTTCGCTTAATCACTCACCTGCCCTTCCCTGACCATCATTGTTATTTGGGTTTGTGTTCGCACCTGTTTGAAGTCAAAAGATTACATTGTTACGTGTGATTATATTGTAGTTCCTCTTCCCCCTTCCAACAAGTCTGACCCCCCCCCAACCCTCCGTGTCAATAAAAAAGGTACTTAGCACGCATTGAGTGGCATTGTGCCGAATGATATAAGGACAGTTGATTCAAAAACTGCTTATCAAATCACTCATTCCAATCAAAGTTTTAAGTGGATCTCCTCCCACCTTCCGATGGTAAATCCTGGGCCCTGATTCGAAACAGTGAATATACTTTTAAAACATATATCAATCTTACCAGCCCACTGAAAGTGCACCAAATGGTCAGATTTAATTCTCGCACGCTTCGGGACAAAGTCGTATTCGACTCCTGGGTAAACCTGCACGATATTACCGCGTTTTCCACGCACGTTAATGTTATGTATGATTTTGTCGTCCAGGCCCGTGGGTCGTGTCTGCAGCAAGAAGGTGTGCGAACGATCTTGGAATGTTCGGCCGAACTGTGCCGTATTGACGGCCAGTTGAAGATCGATTCTACTTTGACCAAATTGCTCTATGGGATTATTGGTGATCGGGGATTGATTGATTATTATGTTCCCACTACTAGAAAATAAAGACAATCATTCGTTATGAGTGTTTATAACCCGACGTAATTGATTTACCCATACTCAATAAAATTTCTCTTCTTACGGTGAAAAACTTCGGCCTCTATGACTGAAAGGATCATTGGATCTTTAATGACTGATTTTTAAGGCGAAATTTGATCATCAAGGCCTGATCCTTAGGACGATACTTTTAATAAAATGAGATGGTGCTCGCTACAGTGTGCAGTGCTCATAACGTTTTTCTCCTTTGGACGAATATTCCGGTGTTTCGCAGCTGGAATTTCTGGTAAACTACAATATGGGTCAAGCCATGCGCTTTACCACGGACAGGACTTACCCTTTGCGTTCATTTCTTTCGGCGAATGTGGTCGAAACGTTGTAATCGTCAGTGGAAATATTATACCTGGAGCGATTAAAATATTCCGAGTTCTCAAGTGTTCAATTCAGTGTCTATGCTGACTGAGTCTTTACTTGGCTGGTCTGGCACTGACTTACTGCTTTATAATGTTCTATTCAGTGTTTCACTTTCAACCTTCCGGCGTCAATGTCAGTTGATCATTGCAGTACTGCTAGTCTGACTGATTGCTGACTGTTGCTACTAATACTTGCCTGACTAGTCTAGTACTTACTGCTTTGCAATGTTTTATTCAGTGTTTCACTTTCAACCCTCCTCAATGTCAGTTGATCATTGCAGTACTGCTAGTCTGACTGAGTGCTGACTGAGTGCTGACTGTTGCTGCTAATACTAGCCTGGCTAGTCTAGTACTTTGCGCTTGATAACATTTTACTCAGTATCTGTCAACCTTCCTCAACGCCAGTCGACCATCTCAGTACTATTATAGTCTGGCAGAAGTCGCTATTTTGAAATCATCGGGTGCAAACCTTAAGCGGAAGACGCATCTTTGAGTCTCGCCACTTGGAAAATACGGTAAAATCCAATGGTGTCTCATAGCAATGACGTTTTCCCCATTGCCAAGGTGATTCGGTCGTGAGGTAGGTGCGACTGAGCATTTGACTTTGGGTGGAAGGACTAAACACATCACTTTATGTTTTATATCGCCCGGAAAGTAAGGGATTGCCATCGAGTACGAATATTTGGGTTGCCACGGTCATAAGATTTGCATTCTCCTTCCGTTCTAATATTCGGATATTTCCAAGAAATTACTGTACTCCAACCACTTTCCACCGCCTTGGCTACAAGCAAATGCGTTGTTGTGTTCATCGTATTTTATCCTGGAATGCGGCTTTCCTGTACATTTTCCTAAAAGGCAGATCGATGCTGTAAGTGCGTGAAAATTGAAATTCATACTCGTAACAATAATTTGAAAGAAACATTCTCAGTTTTTTTAACCCAAAAAACGAATACGGTCGAAGTTCTGGGATTTTATTTTCTTGGCAAGTTTACACAAATTTGATCAATTTCTATCTTATCGTTTTCCCCTAATGTGCTGGAATTTTCCGATTTCAATTTTTTTAGTTTGTGGCAATGAACGTTGAGCAAGTTCGGATTATTTGATTTTGTTGCCGGGGGGGGAGGTTACAGAAATTCGGAGGGGGGGGTTCGAGTCTTTCTCCTTGCCCCTCCGTCCATAAAATTTCGCGATTGAGCATACCTCGTAGTCTTTCGTTGAAGCTTTCCCTTTCGTAAAAACTGCAGTCTTCTTGTCTTTCACGTAAATAGCCTCATCCTTCCAGGGAGTCGGGTGCCAGTACGGATAGTAATCCCGTTCTTCGGGGCATTCGTAGCCGCTTCGAGTACCACCCGGATTTTGTCGTGTGTAAATACTCGTGTCTCCACGTGGATTTTGATCCGCGAGAAACAACCCTACACGATAAAGTACACCGGAGAATGTTCCAAATCACTGTATTCACATTAATCGGTACAAGATTAGGTTATCTAACCTAGATTGGTGTTCGAAACCTTCGTCTATTCATTTTCAACGTTGGAAGAGAGACTGTTAATGCGGAAATACACGTGCTTTGGTTTTTAATACACTTCAAAGGTGTATAGCACATATCCATGACATGGAGGACGTCCCAAAGCCCGTGCCGAAATCGTTTGCACTATTTCATAGTGCAAGTACGTATTTCAACAGCTGTGCTATACTCACCTTTGTTGCGTTGCCTTGTTTTACATTCTTTGTACCATTCGTAACGCTCATGCAACCCAAGGTGGTAGCTGGCGCCATTTTCTGACTGCGACTGCGTGTTATAACCTTGTAAAAACACACAGAATGAAATTTAACTCATGTCAATGGTCCCAATACACCTGTGTATGAACTAACACTCGTAGGCCTTTAGAATATTTAGTTTTGTGGTAATTTATAATTGTCCTTAACAGAAGAAAATTTTTGATTATTCATTAAAAAAGAGTTTCACTTTCATGTATTTTCGTTGCGTTTATTATCTGTGAGGCAAACCGAACGCATAGACTGTGTGCATATAATGTATGGGCTACATTCTTATTTTGGTTGGCAGGGTCAACAAATTTTAATCATTTTTAATCAAGAACGTTTTTATATTCGGTCCGTAGCGTGTTCGCCAACCGAATTAGGGGGTAAACTTAAGGTGAGCAGGCTAGCCCCCCCCCAGAATATAATATGTCCGCATCTACAATTATACAGTGACCTTTTACACAGGATAAAGACGGACAAATATTTAAATATAGTTGTATAAAGCAGTATATCTCCTAAATTTCTATTATTACACCAAAATTTAATCTATATACCACGAACTGTCTATTATAAGAAGATTTTAAATCTTATTTCCTACCATTTCTTAGTTTAAAAGCTGATGGCGTATTTTGTGGCTGACACTTGTATTGCAAAACGATGTTACAGTTGAGATCGTTATCACCACAGCCGTGTTGATTCGTCCATTCCACGGTCAGATATGATTTCCCTTCATTGTCACTTGACTGCCCTTTCGGGCCACTCATGAAGTATTCCTGTAGAGAGAAAAAGGTGGCAAATTCTCACACAAGCTTAAGCTACGGGTTCTGAAATAACTGCTTGTTGTTGGGTCGTGAAATTGTAAACAGGCAACAACTGCATGGCAACGCATGTAAATCGCTCTCTGAACTAATTTTCCGTTATTATTTGTGGCAAAAAAAACTCTCTGATGCGTCGATTTGGTGAAGTAATTAATACCTTAGCTCTGTGTGTTGGAAATCAAGATGAAACCAAGCCTACAAGTCTTTTTTTGAGTTAGAATTGAGTACAAATTGCCCAAATTAATACTAACTTCGCAAAGTTTCCCCGACTTTTAAACATAATTTAACCGACTTATTGCCATTAAGGACATACCATTTCGTATTGAGTGTTACGGTCACTTTGGTATTTGTTTCCGACATTGTAACCACCTCTGTTGTTATTCTGTAAAAAAACAAAGTTATAAAACTATAGCTAAGCCTGATTTAGTTGAAAGATCTATACTTGGCAACTAAACTCAGTCTATAGTGCTACCGCAAACACGTTTTATGCCGGGGTCAATTTGATCTTCTATAGGATTTGCTGAGAATTTAACCTCATCTGCCCGGTTCGACATCTAAGAAAATATCAACTTTGATGGTGCACAAAGGCGTTGAAATCGTAAAACTTCTATGCAAAGCCGCTTATTGTTGTCGTTCACCTTATTTAGTGCAAATATGACTTTCTCTTCACGATCTCCAAAGATAAAGACTGAAAAACGTCGTCAGGATCGACCGTTTCCTTTCGATAGATTGATTACCCAAACACTTTCAAATCAAACCATTCAGTCGTACAAACAGCAAACTCACCTGTGAATCAAAGAGTCTGTTAGCGTTGTTTCTGTTGTTATTTTGTTCGTTTAATCGGTTATTTGAACCTCTTGGGTTGTGCATATAAACATCGCCTTTCGCTAGCCAGAATAGAAACTGCAGAGAGAAAAGGACTAGGCATAAACCGCCATGTTTCTGCTCAGCAATCTTCGCCATTAACTTGCATGCGACGACCGCCGAAGATCCGAATAGATGCGAACAGATTTGCTTTTTAAATTTTGGAATTGTACAATTTTCTTCTAACTGGCTAGAGATGGCTGATATTTTGAGCAATTGTGGCAAATGAATAGTGATTTCAAAAGTTGAAACGTATGTGATACAATGACTCTATAGGAGAGATTGTTATTTGTTATACTCGCTGCTGGAATTCTGACAATTCATCAAAAGTAGCTTCATTTGAAAAGCTTCGGAGACATTGAAACTTCAATGGTTGGCACATAAACAATGGCGTGCTTAGCACGATTATTATCAACAAAGCTTCTGCCCACTCTTACAGTTTACCATGCGATGCTTGATAGAACTTGGCTCAATATGGATGTAAAAAAAGCCTGATGCAGAACAAATTTCGAATCGGTAAATTGAGGATCGTTATTGCAATGCATATAGGATTAAACTAAAGCTGACATGTGAACGATATCGTGAGCTTATAATATAAAAACGTGGCCGTTGAAATCAGATAGCAACGCAGTCGCTACCCTAACGGCATTGAGCTTTGGGGGAGGATATGTCGCCTTACCCTGAGATCTTGAGTGGGGTTCGTCTGGGGGTTGGTTGTGTCAAAAGCGCGTGGGTGAACGTCGCATGTCTGTTCCAAGATCTAGTATCGTGATCGTTATCTAAATGGCGACAGTGTCCACAAAGCGTACTTAAACTCCACTTTAAGTGCTTTCTAAATTTATCTAATCAAATTCATAAACGCATCGTTGTACATAACGAGCAAACTGCCTTCGCGTTCCAGGTTACCCGCTGAGCTGAACGACAAAGCTGTACCTAAACAATGCAAGATTATCTCAACGATAAAGTTACGTAACTAATACTTGTGTATTTAATTGTATATGGTACAATAGCTTATACGATGTTTATACTATAACCTGCATGATTTTACAGGGGGGGAGTGCGTGAATTTTGGAATCCATTCTCAAATCAATTTCTTACCGTGTATTTCTGTTAATTTTTTCCAAGCGCTCGAAACATTGCAGTTTTATTCATCTGAGACTTGTAGTATTTTCAGCCTCGTCTATATCAATAACGATTTCCAGACAACATATTTGGAATAGGTGTTTGGAATAAAGAATGATTATTGAGAGCTTTTAATTGCAATTTATCCACAGGAAACTTATTATTTATCGCTCAAAATCTGTCTCCTTGACATTCACGTCGACCCAGAAACAAGGAATTCGAAACAGGGATCGAATTAATACACCTCTTGTATCTGCTTTGAATATCTTGAACTTTATAGACAAGTTAATACGGATTAGTTCCAGTGGTTAAGTTGAATTCGTTCAGTTAAAGTTAGAAATGAGTTGCATGCAATTCTTCTTGTTTTGCATTAAACCTTTAAAGCGGAACTTATCTTGGTCTGAAATTGCTATCGTGTACAGCCGTTTAATTTTCTGATTATCTGAAATATTGACCATTGACCAAGTGCTGGTGTTCTCTACCGTGAAACAAATTAAGAAATGTTACTAGGATATAGAAATCGCTAAAAAATAGTCGCGGCACCTTGTTTGAGGATTTTTACAGCGCCTGGCAATCAAATAATCTATGAATGACATTGATTGGTTTATTAATTTAACTTTTTTGTCTAATCAAGCAAATGAATGATTTAAGCAGTTTAGGTGATTCAGCTGTTTCAGTCAGCCTAAGATTATCACACGGTTGTCGACAAGCAATCAAAGTGATTGAGATGATGGGTGGATATTAAACGTCGAGAGTTTTCTCGATACCAAACTTGATTTGATCATCGTGCAGTTGTCATCTCTGAAGACATGAAGAGTCTTATTTTCTTGGCTTTTTTAAGTCTGTGTGTTTTGCACAGCACGTATGCGGCGATGTTTATCTCCATACGCCACGGGGTTCCAACAACAGATTGTTAGGCGAAGGAGCCAATCGTCAAAATGCGAACAGAGTGTTCGACTCTCAGGTATTTGTTAAAAACTTTCAAATATTGCTTGCCGTGCTGTTCTGTCTTAACACGAGTTAGTCGTTTGAATTTAAACAAGTCAGCGTCGTTTTGGGGTTTTTCACTTAAAACTAAAGCCGATAATACTGATATTGTCTTGAATATGCTATAATTTGCAATAGTAATGGTGTCTATATCATCATTTGCTAAACCTTACCCAATTTTTACTTCCCGGAGATTATCGCCGCTTCTGCCCTACCAGGGATTACACCTTACAGGAGATTAGTACCTTTCAGTTCTGGGGGATTTTCACCCCTTGACCTGTGCATGGCTCTACGGGATTTTCACCCCTAGGAGATTCAAGCTAGGGGAATACAAACCCATGTCTATTTTTAGATAAATTTGTATGGTCGGTTTTAGAACAATTTTGTAATCAACTATATTAATGGAGTCCTCAACCCATCAACCCAATCGCTTTCTGAATTGTATTAAACTGAATTGATAGTGCAAAAATAAATAGAATAGTTTTTAAGATGGTTAGAAAAATCTTGCACCATTATTTCCATCGGCTTACATCTTATCATGTTTGAAAAGTTCGACTTTCTTTTTAACCCAATCATTTTAAGTTCTGTATGCTTGACTTTTTAAGTAAAAGATGCATGTCATAACACACTTGTTCTGTTTATTGATGGAGATTTTTCTTCGCCAGAACAACGCTAAAGGTGGTTACAACGCTGGTGAAAAGAGCGAAAAAAAGACAACTGATTGGTATCATATGGTAGGTTGTTCAGGACGAGAAGGCCAGCTGTTCAAATGTTTATAAACGTGATTAAAAACATGTTTTCTCTCTCCCCATGCACACACAGCAATATTTCATGAGCGGCACCTCGGCTAATGCACCAACTATCCTGAATCTTGAATGGACCAATCAGCATGGCTGTGGCGACGGTGACTTGAATTGTAACATCGTCTTGCAATACATGTGTCGCCCCTCTGGACAGGAGGATAAACAAAGGGAGATGAGGAACGGTAAGAAAATACAAAATGAGACAGAGCTGGCTTTAATAATACTGAAATACAAGATGGACAGAGCTGACTTCAGTTTCCCAGTTCGTGCAATACTGAGCATGTTTTGACAAACTGGTGTGCCAGAAAACGACCAAGCTTCCTCATAAAACGACGATGATACAAGCTACTCTTTTTTACAGGAATAAAACATGCTCCGAAAAGCATAATCTTGTGAATCAAACGAGTTATGTTTCGCGATATTTTGACTTTATTTCAAAGTCGCAAAGTCGTTGTTTCGTTTTTGACTCGCATATTAAATGTTGTTTTTCAGAGCATGTTTTTCTTATATTTCATTAAATACTCTCATTATGATTGTTTAATTGTTGCTCTACAATCAATAATACAAACAGGCCATCTCTCTTTATTCCAGGCAAAACGGAGACGACCCCAGCCTATAGAAAGCGCACTTTCAGAAGTTTTAGAAGCAAACTTATGGAGAGAAGGAGGCGCTCTCGCCTTGACAGAGTTTACAACGAGCAGTGGGAATGGTATGACAAGTGCAACACGAGAGAAAGAAACAAAGGTTTGGATCAATCAAAAGCAGAACAATTTAGAATCAATAGAGCTACATATCCAGTGTAAATCAGTTTAGTTTAAATTTCCTCTCGTAGTAATTAACACTGGTTCAATAGGAGATGATCCTTACTGGACTTCTAGGCTAGGAGAATTGTTTGAACTGATAGAACTATCCAGTATAAATAAAGTTAGTTTAGTTCAGGTTTCCTTCTGTAGTAACACTGGATCAATAAGAGATAATCCTTACTGGACCTCTAGAAAGAACAGTTTAGAACTGATAGAACTATCCAGTAAAATAAAGTTAGTTTAGTTCAGGTTCTTTCTGTAGTAACACTGGATCAATAGGAGATGATCCTTACTGGACCTCTAGGAAGAACAGTTTAGAACTGATAGAGCTATCCAGAATGAATAAAGTTAGTTAGTTTCGTGTATTAACACAGTATATTAATAGTGACACTTCCATGCTTTGACTTCTACATTTGACGAACTTTGATTCTTTCAACACAATCATCTGCAGGTCTGTTCACAGCTGATCAGAACCTCAAGGGCAACACAGCAAAGTACACGCGACAAAACGCTAATGGAAATCGTCATGGTTACGAGTGTCCTGAGGAAAGAGATTATTATCCATACTGGCATCCGACTGACTGGATTGATATCGCAGTCTTGGGAGACGGAGCAGATTGTGACTTTTACAAGTCACAGAGCTTCAACACCAATAAGGGTATTTAAAATTTCTCTAATTTCTCATCATTTTGGAACAAACTCCACTCCGGCTTCCAGTTCACAAAAGCTTGTTGTAATCATGCCTATTTTCAGTTGAATTTCAATAGAACGTTCTGCAATGTTATTATTAAGTCTTTACGTGATCTCCAATGAGAAAAAATTTCCTGGCTAAACGCAATTGTTTTCGCATTTATATAGAGGAGTGTGTGGAACTCTACAACAAAGAAAGGGCTTACGATGAAAAGACAAACAAATGGCGTCATGCCTCACGATTCAACAACAAAGCTGCCTGCGAAGCAAACAAAGGAAAATGGGTGACATTTCACAGCTATCTTGAAGAGGCTGAGCTTACCAAGGAGCAGTGTACTGGTGAAGAGCACATATGGGCCATTCCCTATCGCTCTGAAAGATTGGACCAGTTCAAAGGTGCTGATCCCGAGGACTGGAAAAAATGCTTGGTCGCGTTACCCAAACCAGAATGTGGGCCAGCCCCGTACTCACGTTCCAATCACCTGGGTAACGGCGAGGGCGTGGTCGCTCTCAACTATCCTTGGAAGATACCCCGCTTCCCTTCAGGAGACGAACAGAAATGTGTACGGTTAGTCTTGCTGTGAACGTTTATCTCAGAGTTCGTCTTCTCAATCTCATATAGTGTTTATGTCCGTGGACTGATTTTCATAGTTGGCCAACTGAATACGCAGAGTACGTGTTTAACAATTTTCCATTTTAATTCAGGTACAATATCTCCACAAGCGATTACGACGTGAAAAATACATTCTCTGGTTCAAACAACGAGTAAGTATTGTTCACTTTTTTGCCGATGGAAAATTAAAGCTATAAATAAACGGCCGCCAAGAAAGACCAGAATATAACTTCACATTCTTGGACAGGGGAAGAGAGAAGAAATACTATTTAAGATACTACTCATAAGAATATCATTTTCTGTTCATTTAATGGCACTGATCACAGATGACGAAACATGCTGTTACGGCAGCAAAATTATCCAGCTTTCGTTTCATTCTGAATCAAATCATCGTTTCACAATCTTATCTCACTTTCAGTGACTCTGTCATCCAGAACGACCAAGTACTCTTCGGTGAACCAAACAACAACAAGGTTCCCCTTCAGCTGGCCATAAACACGGCTCAATTCGGTCGTACATTCCAGGATCGCTCTCATGTCTTTAAGATCATACCAAGAAAGCCGGAGTTCCAGGATAAGCGAATCCTGAATCTGAATGTGCGAGGGAAGAGAGGAAATATTGTCCAGGTTTATCCCCGCTGTAGAATACGACTTCTCTCCGAAGCGGATGTCGATTACGACGAATGATTATCTCCATGTCCAATGGACAGGTAATTACGAGCTATGTGCTTATATTATTGTACAAAGAATCAATCGCAAAGAATGCTCCACTTTTTGAGCAGTGTAATCTTTGCCTGAAAATGACTGTATTTCAATTCTAATCCCACTTTATTTTGTCGTATATTTTGTCTTGTCCTTTCCTCATCTCGTAAGATTTTGTAACCGGTTTGTTTGAGTAATTTGCTTTCAAAATTTCTGAAATTTCTTCCTATAAACATATTTAACCTTCTGAGATTGTCATGTTATAGGTTCTAACAGAAATCCAAAAAACAATGCTGGTGAAGGGCGCGCACGTAAGTATATATTGTCAATACTCGTTTCATGAAACATCACACATACATTATAATCACACAACATCGTTTTCCAACATTTCACGTATTCGAACCAGAGGTCTTTTAAATGGCTTTTTTCTTTAAAAGAACATCTAGAATTGCTTTGATATTCTAATTAGACTTAGGGTTTTTTGTTAATATTTTCATGAAATTTTTGTTATGCAGAAACCGACCGTAGCAACATGGTCGCAATGCAATCGCCTGACAAAAGCCTCCCGCATTATGGCGGCGGTTTATTCGAAAATGCCCAAGTTGTTTATGCTCTGGACGGTACTCAAGGTATGTCGTCAGCTGACGCTGCTGTTGCCATGGCTACGGCGGGCCACTTCAAAAACGCGGCGAATGTTCCCGCCAATCTCAATCAACTGGGCGGATGTAATAGAAAGCAACTAGCTCAACTGGACTGCTATCCACCGTCCTACTCTGGGATGCTGCTGCGTTTCACGAAAGCCGGAACATACTATTACATGGGTTCCCGTAACAACAACTTCACCAATCGAAGTCAAAAGGGCAGGCTTACAGTCACCTCCACGAAAAAATGACGTTCATAAATGTTGTTCAGTTAAGTCGCAATATGGTTCATTAAAGATTTATTTATTCCCGGCAGATATTTGTGCGTTACGGTATATTATACGTCTATGTATTCGCCTTTTCCGAGATGTTTTTGTAAGCTTGAACCGTACTGTTTCATATTGTCGAGCTTTTTTGATAGACTTTTTTTGATAGAAAGCAAAACATACCTTTTCATTCCCAATCAAACGAGTTCAAATTTACAACTTTATTTGGGGTGTTCATTTCATTGTTGTAGGAAACAGGTTTGACAAGCTGATGTAGATAAACTCAGTTGGTTGGCCAATCAATATTTTCGAATGAATCACTATTTCTTTTATAAAGATAAACAATTATACATGCAACTATGCCTGTGCCAAAGGCTCTAAACTCGCTCAAGCAGTTTTCATCCTCTTCTATATAGGAATTTAAACAGAGGAAAATTCCAATGAAATTGAATCATGATCCGAAAATTCAAAATTGAATTGAAACAAGAGAGGCTTGTGGGAGTCAATGATAACATCAAATTCAATTGCTATGAATTTAAATATTGTTCAATATTATCGATTGAATAGGGTTCTATAGGATTTTCTAAGCGGTCTTTGCTCTGAAAGATAAGGATTTATTTAACTTCTTAGATAAGCTGTACGAGATTTTCTGAAGTTCTATACCACAAAATGTCCGCTTTTCGATCTGTCAATATTTTTCCGTGTATTCGGCATCGCCATCTTGCCCACTCGTACTGATGAAGTAACATTTATTTGTTTCGTTACCTGGGAGAAATATTCGAAATATTCGAAAGGACATTGAAATCAAATGCTTTTTTATATATCTTATACAAACGCTTCTTATCAACACGACGCTTCTGCCCACTTCTACAGTTTACGATACAATGCTTGATAGCATTTGGCTCACAATAGACGTGCTAGCCTTATGCACATGCATACAAATTTCCAGCCGAGATTATAGTTTTTGCAATGTTTATAGAAATACACTGTATAAAGAAAGACTTTTCCACTTGCAATCTCCGCTTCAATTTCCGGTGCAATGTTCTACTCTTGTCGGATGTGATCAAGTGGGCAGTTACGAAAGCTGCGAAGTGAAAGTGCCCGTATTTGCACCTCGGTAATCTATTTACTTGTTCGCATTTCTCAAAAGTAGAAAATCGCAAGTGTAAACGGCTGGTATTAGGGCTGAAACTCGAGTTTTAATGCAATCTGGTAATACCTTGACGGCAGGTGGCTTTCAGAGGAGGTGTAAGTTGCCTTACCCTGGCTACCTAGGACCCTGGGGGTTGGTTGTGTCAAAAATGCGGGGGCGATCGTCGCATGTCTGTTTCAAAATATCATGTTATTATAATATCTGTTTCAAGTATCGTGATCGTTATCTAAAAGGCGACGGTGTCCACAAAAGCGTACCTAAACTTTAATTTGAGTGTTTTCTAAATTTATCTAATGACATTCATGAACGCATGGTTTAGTCCTGGTTATACACAAGTGTAACAAGTGCCCTCGCACTCCAGGTTTCCCGCTGAGCTTTGCCACAATGCTATGTAAAAAAAATGCGAGATTAGCTTCAAAATATAGCGCGGTAATCAATATTTGTCTATTGAACTGTATGAAAGAAAAAGCTCATTATGTAGTGTTTTTACAATAACTTACACCCGATTTCCTAAATCATTTTCTTTTCGTATGTTTTTGTGGTCATTTTTTCCCACCATTCAAGATATAACATCTTTAACTGCTCAAAATGGTGTCATTTTAAAGCTCGTTTATATTAAATGACGATTTTCAGACATCATATTCGCACTGTGGTGCTCACAAAGGATAAAAAAGGTCTATTATTAACAGATTTGGAGGTTCAAGTATCGCCTGCGAGGCATTTGAAGCATCTGAATGACTTATCAAAAATTCGAGTTCTGTCGTTATCATTAAAATTGTTTTTCAAAGTTTTGATATGATCAAAATAAGGCAATAGAGACGCACAATAGATTGAAAGAGTTCAACGGGAGATCAATGAGACAGCAGGTTAAAAACTGTGGCATTTAAGATTATTTACATGCGTTTATGATAAGGACTTTATTGGGTTTACACGAGAAAGATGTAGGTTTGAGGATTTTTCTGTAAATGAGTCGATTTCTGTCTCATTTATTAATTTTCAGTTGAACATATCCGAATACTCGTACTAATAAATTTTACAAACTTTATGCAAGGAACGAACGTAGTGTTTTTCCGGCCAGTTGAAATTGGCCATCAATTCTGCCTACTTAATGCGTCAAAACCCGCTGATTTATTCAAAATGTAATAAAAATAGAACTTAATGTAGGCGGCCTCTTTGAAAGAAACTTGTCTAGTTAGCATTTATCCTTGCGCTGATAATGAAGTAATCTATCCGACATTGATTGGAATATTAGATTTACTTTTATGTTTAAAACGCATTAAATCTTGCACGTTATTTAACCAGTCAAGTGAAACAGCTGTTTCAACTTCAAGCAGCCTTGTATTGTCACATTGTCATCAGTAAACAATCAAAATAATTGATAAACTGTTGACTGTTGAGCAATATCAAACGGTGCATATCCCGCCAGTAGCAAACTTGATCTGATCTTCGACCAGTCGTCATCTCAAGAAAAGATGAGGAATCTGATTTTGTCGACCCTTTTGAGTTTGTGTGTTTTAGGACTTCACGTACGCGGCGATGTCTATCTTCATAATCCGCGGGGTTCTAACAACAGATTGTTAGGCGAAGGAGCCAATCGTAAAAATGGGAACAGAGTGTTCGACTCCCAGGTATTTGTTAAACACTTTCGAATATTGCTTGCCGTGCCGTTCTGTCTTAAACGAGTTCGTCGTTTGAATTAAAACAGCCTCGTAGTTTTTGTGTTTCACTTAAAGTAAAAGCCGATGGTACCTGATATTGTCTTGAATACTGCTATAATTTGCAATACTAATGGTGTCTATGATCTTTTGCTAAACCTTACCCAATTTTTACTTCCCGGGGATTATTACCGCTTCTGCACAATCAGGGATTACACCTTGCAGGAGATTAGTACCTTTCAGTTCTGGGAGATTTTCACTTCTTGGCCTGCGGTTCTACGGGATTTTCACCCCTCGGAGATTCAAGCCCCTAGGCAAATATAATCTCATATTTATTTTTAGATAAATTTGTATGGTTTGTTTTCGAACAATTTTTGTAATTATCTATATTACTGGAGTACTTTAACCCAACAATCAATTGCATTAAACTGAGTGAGCGACTTGCTCTTTAGACTATTTTTTGATCCAAGCAATAAGAATAAAAGAAATCACCACAGCTTGCAAGAGCGTACTTGAATTAGTGCAAATGCAAATTATGGCTGCGAAATTTAGTAAAATACGGAAAATATAGCCATGCGAAGTTGGCATATTTTGTATACTTTTGTATTTCGCGTGGAAATGTGTAACTAAATTAGTTACAAACTTCCGGTCGTAATATACAAAAGTATACAAAAATCGACAAATTCGCATGGCTATATTTTCCGTAATTTACAAGAATTCACCGCCAAACTTTGCAGTTTTACTAATTTTAGTAAACTCTTTCAGAAAATTTTCTTTTTACCACTGAGATAAGAAATTAGTCTAAAGCGCAAGTCATCCATTGATCGTGGAAAAGTAAATAAAATAGTTTTTAAGATGGTTAGAAAAATCTTGCACAATCATTTCCATCGGCTTACATCTTATCATGTTTGAAAACTTTGACTTTCTTTTTAACTTAATCATTTTAAGTTCTGTTTGCTTGAGTTTTTTAAGTAGAAGATGCATGTCATAACACACTTGTTATGTTTATTGATGGAAATTTCTCTTTCTAGAATAACGCTAAAGGTGGTTACAACGCTGGTGAAAAGAGCGAAAAAAAGACAACTGATTGGTATCATATGGTAGGTTGTTTAGGACGAAAAAGCTGTTCAAATGTTTATAAACGTGATTAAAAATATGTTTTTTCTCTCCCCATGCACACACAGCAATATTTCATGAGCGGCACCTCGGCTGATGCACCAACTATCCTGAATCTTGAATGGACCAATCAGCACGGCTGTGGCGACGGTGACCTGAATTGTAACATCGTCTTGCAATACATGTGTCGCCCTTCCGGACAGGAGGATGAACAAAGGGAGATGAGGAACGGTAAGAAAATACAAAATGAGACAGAGCTGGCTTCAGTTTAGTGCTTTTACTTATTGGGCAACACTAAGCATGTTTTGACAAACGTCTGGTGTCCCAAAAACGTCTCTAAGCTTGCTCACTATAAACAACGATGATACATCAAAAAAACATGCTCCGAAAAACATAATCTTGTGAATCAAACGAGATATGTTTCGCGATATTTTGACTTTATTTGAAAGTCGCAAAATCTTTGTTTCGTTTTTGATTCGCATATTAATTTACAAGATGTTGTTTTCCGAGCATGTTTTTCTTATTTTTCTTTAAATACTCTTATTGTAATTCTTTAATTGTTGTTCTACAATCAATAATACAAACAGGCCATCGCTCTTTAATCCAGGCAAAACAGAGTCGACCCCAATCTATAGAAAACGCAATCTTAAAAATCCTGCAAAAAAATCTGCGGAAAGAAGGTCGCAATCACTTCTTGACAGAGCTTACAACGAGCAGTGGGAATGGTATGACAAGTGCAACAGGAGAGAAAGAAACAAAGGTTTGGATCAACCAAAAGCAGAACAATTTAGAACCAATAGAGCTACATATCCAGTGTAAATCAGTTTAGTTTAGGTTCCCTCCCGTAGTAACACTAGTTCAATAAGAGATGATCCTTACTGGACTTCTAGGAAGAACAGTTTAGAACTGATAGAGCTATCCAGTATAAATAAAGTTAGTTTAGTTCAGGTTTCCTCGTGTAGTAACAATGGATCAATAAAAGATGATCCTTACTGAACCTCTAGGAAGAACAGTTTAAAACTGATAAAACTATCCAGTATAAATAAAGTTAGTTTATTTTAAGTTTCTTCCTGTAGTAACACTGGATCAATAAGAGGTGATCCTTACTGAACCTCTGGGAAGAACAGTTTAGAACTGATAGAGCTATCCGGTATAAATAAAGTTAGTTTAGTTTAAGTTTCTTCCTGTATATTGACACGCTTTCACGCACTTTGCTTCATTTCGATTGACGAGTTTTGATTCTTTCAACACAATCATCTGCAGGTCTGTTCACAGCTGATCAGAACCTCAAGAGAAACACAGCAAGGTACACGCGACAAAACCCAATGGAAATCGACGAGGTTACGAGTGTCCCGAGGAAAGAGATTATTATCCTTACTGGCATCCGACTGACTGGATTGATATCGCAGTTTTGGGAGACCAAGCAGATTGTGACTTTTACAAGTCACAGAGCTTCAACACCAAACCTAAGGGTACTCAAAATATATCTAATTTATCGTAATTTTAGAACAAGCTCCGCTCCAGCTTCCACCTCACAAAAGCGTTCACTGTTTTCAGTTGAATTTCAATAGAACGTTCTGCAATGTTATTATTAAGCCTTTACTCGTGATGTGCATACTTTAAGAGCACGTGCACATGTCAGAGCCCTGTACCCGAATATATTTTCCCTTTCCTACGAGAATAAAATTTTCTCAAGCAACGCCGATTTCCTTGGCAGGTCGTGGCTAAAGGCAATTGTTTTCGCATTTATATAGAGGAGTGTATGGAACCTTATAACAAAAAAAAGGCTTACAATGAAAAGACAAACAAATGGCGTCATGCCTCACAATACAACAACAAAGCTGATTGCGAAGCAAACAATGGAATATGGGTGACATTTCACAACTATCTTGAAGAGACTGATCTTAGTGAGGCACAGTGTACTGGTGAAGAGTACATATGGGCCATTCCCTATCGCTCTGAAAAATTGGACCAGTTGAAAGGTACTGATCCCGAGGATTGGAAGAAATGCTTGGTCGCGTTACCCAAACCAGAATGTGGACCAGCCCCGTACTCACGTTCCAATCACCTGGGTAACGGTGAGGGCGTGGTCGCTCTTAACTATCCTTGGAAGATACCCCGCTTCCCTTCAGGAGACGAACAGAAATGTGTACTGAGAATAAGGTTAGCCTCAACGACTTGCTCTCGATCTTAAGAGTTTTATCGTCCGTTGAATTTTCATAATTAGCCAAATACTGAATTACGCAGAGTACGTGTTTAACAATTTTCCATTTGAATTCAGGTACAATATCTCCACAAACGATTACGACGTGAAAAATACATTCTCTGGTTCAAACGACGTGTAAGTATTGTTTACCTTCTCGCATTTTGAATGACTGAAGAAAAAAATATATTTCTTACACAGCCTTGGACGAGACAGACATGAATTAAATTTTGCATTACATGCATTACAATATCTTATTTGCAAACTGCATTTCGTGAAACTCGAATGGCGCAGTGGAAACTTCTCTCGTTTTTATGTAAGACTAACTCTCTTGACGAAGGCCCTCAGGTCGAAACGTCGAGAAGTGTTTTGTCTATTTTAGGCAGTTGTTATGCCACATTTTATGCTATGTTCCAATCAAGAGCATTCTACATCATAAAGCCTTCGTTTTAAACATTACGTATCTTCTTAAAAAAGGCTACTGGTGAATTCAAAATTGAATTTAACGCGCTACTGGTGAATTCAAAAGTATCGATGTCGTGTTGAACTCTTCTTAGGATCATTCCTATTTCATTTTCAGCGACTCTGTCATTGAAAACGACCCAGAAGTAGAGTATGGAGCACCAGACAACAACAAGGTTCCCCTTCAGCTGGCCATAAACACGGCTCAATTCGGTCGAACATTCCAGGATCGCTCTCATGTCTTTAAGATCATACCAAGAAAGCCGGAGTTCCAGGATAAGCGAATCCTGAATCTGAATGTGCGAGGGAAGAGAGGGAATATTGTCCAGGTTTACCCCGCCGTAGAATACGACTTCACTCCAAAGAGGATGTCGATTACGACAAATGATTACCTCCATGTCCAATGGACAGGTAATTACGAGCTTTGTGCTTATATTCTTGTACAAAGAATCAATCGCAAAGAATGCTCCATTTTTGAGCAGTAATCTTTGTCTGAAATTTTACTGAAATACTGTATTTAATTCTAATCCAACTTTAATTTTGTCGTATCTTTTGTCTTGTCTCTTCTTCATCTCGTAACATTTTGTAACCGGCTTGTTTGAGTAATTTGCTTTCAAAATTTCTGAAATATTTTGGCCTGTAATATATTTAACCTCCAGTTGAAATGTTTTAGGTTCCAACAGAAATCCAAAAAACAATGCTGGTGAAGGGCGCAAACGTAAGTATAAATTGTCAATACTCGTTCGTGAAACATCACACATACATTATAATCACACTACATCGTTTTCCAACATTTCACGTATTTGAACCAGAGGTACGTTTTTAAAAGCAAATGGCTTTTTTCTTTGAAGGAAGATCTATGCTTGTCTATCGGTTTTGTTTTGTCATGAAATCATGAAATTTTTGTTATGTTAGAAACCGACCGTAGCAACATTGTCGCAATGCAATCGCCTGACAAAAGCTTCCCGTATTATGGCGCCGATTCATTCGAAAATGCCCAAGTTGTTTATGCTCTGGACGGTACTCAAGGTATGTCGTCAGCTGACGCTGCTGTTGCCTTGGCTACGGCGGGCCACTTCAAAAACGCGGCCAATGTTCCCGCCAATCTGAATCAATTGGGTGAATGTAATAGACAGCAACTAGCTCAACTGGACTGCTATCCACCGTCCTACTCTGGGTTACTCCTGCGTTTCACGAAAGCCGGAACATACTATTACATGAGTTCCCGTAACAACAACTTCACCAATCGAAGTCAAAAGGGCAGGCTTACAGTCACCGATTAGAAAAAAATGACGTTACATAATTATATAAAATGCTACGTCAATTTGTGCATGTTAGTTACGTTCAAACAGGGTTAATAAGATATATTTTGCCCTGCAGATAGTTTGTTCATGTGTTAGTTACGGTATATTATATGCCTATAGCTGTATAACCCTTCTAGATCCTTGCGATCTGTTTTAGCAGTCACTGACCACGTAAAATATTTTTCTTTGTGTAATCTTCTTAACTTTGCCGTTTGTAATTCTTTTAATATTCAAGGATTTCTTAATAAAATTATACCCAACATTTCAGTTTTTACCTCTCTGGAAATATAATTTAAAAAGTGTCCAAATGGTTACCGCTAAAATCGAGTAAAAACTACAGTTATATTTGAGCAGCTATTTATTTGTATCAATGTAGGAAAGTTGGACAAGTAAGCTGACGCGATAACATCACTCCGGTTAGATAATCGATTTCCAGAAACTCAATGTCAATGAAACAAACACCATTATGTTATTAAAGATGTACGTCACTTGTGAAGTGACATTTCGCTAATGAGTTTTAAACTATAAAACAATTATCATAACATAAAGAAATATTTTCATCTAATCCAAGCCAGGCTGTAATGACAAGTCCATATGCAGTCGAAAATCCAAATTGAAATGTATTCAAATTCAGGCATCGACAAAGCCATCATGTTAGGATTTTAATTGTGTACTTTTCGCTGAAATTCGTAACATTTTTTCATGTATTTTTAAGTGTTTTAAACGTGCAAAAGATCAATTAACTGTCGGTCTCTCTCGTGAGTTGGATAACAAACAAATTTCTGATATATTCATTAGTCTTCTATTTGAGCTTTCAAATTAATGCAAAATGCTAAATTTCGTTCACAAATAACTCTCAACTCGTCTGTAAATAGCGAATAATTGCTTGTGGCCGCAGTATGGGGTGACTCTTGAGAAAATTAATCACAAATGCTGTCGTATAATATAAATTATTCATTTGCATCTGCCCGTAATATATGTTATACGTATGTTTGAAGTTGCAATGTATTGAATATCATGCAAAGTTCACTTCACATATAGATGTGTTGTTTCGTTTTGGAAGAACAGGGATATATAGCTTTTAGGTATGTTGTTTCTTGATTTTTCAAACAGTACGAGTTTAAATTGATTGCTTAAAGTATTTTGTGAACAATAATATGTCATTATATTCTATGTTTGACGTTATAATCGCACGTTACAACATGAATTCAGTATTAAACCGAAAGCCATGCATATTACATAGAAATTGTATATCTTGACAATTGATACATGAAAGGATTTTCGTCAAGGTTTTCCAAGTCCGTCTTCTTCAGATAAACTTAGCTACAACTTGATAATTAAACAAAAAACTGTATAAGTTTAGCAAACAATTAAAAGATCTTTTTGAAAGCATTATATATATATATATTCTATATAATAATATGATGCACGCATCTTTTCGGTCGATGATTTACGTTGATCATGTTGACAAAAATATGCTCACATTTCACAACTACCTGGGATTCTGACAACTATACCTAAGAAAAGAAGACGATTTCAAATGAGCATTTTGCATTTCGGCTACTTTGTGTAAATTTCGTCTAATAAATAATATGAATGATATATAATATGGCTGATGGCGAACTTTTACCTCGTCAAAATCGTCATAGACATGCTGATATATACCTTCAAGTCGAATAATCGTTTTCATAATAACGACAAAAACTAAAGAATACTTTACAATATTATGCTGTCTTATCAAATCGGTTACAGTTACGGATCCGACGCGATGCAGTAGTCATGGCAATATTAATTGTAAATAATATAATAGTTTTTATTAAATATGTCCAAAATTAAACCCATTTTGTAATAATTCTATCAATATTCATGAATCAAAGCTGTTGACAACCTATAAGTTTAGTGGATCTTATAGGCTATGGCCAGAGAAGAACCAGTCTAAAATAGTCCTTCCAAGGCATGGAAAACGTTCTTCAATTTGATAAACGTGAGAACGATACCTTTGACTCAAAAATTTTGAATTAGGATTGTATCGATAGAATTTGAAGTTGTATAATAATGCGGTTTATGTTTGAGAAGGCTGCACGTTTCATCGTGATGTTTGTCTGTCTTGAATGATGAAGTCTAATTTCTAAAGATTTCAGTCTGAAGTCTAAAGAGCTTGCAATTGGTATTAAATAAACTAATATCATCTTTTAACTCGTTTGCAGGTGTTCCTATTTTGTTTCCTCTGATTTCCGTTCCGTTATCGTTGATTTCATTCGTTGGGCTAACCTTAGAAGTTAGAACTTAGAAGATGGCGATTTCCACGAGATCACATTATTCCACTCTAGTGTTCATGGTTGTTCTTTGGTGCAGTCACGTGAGTGTTGCGACGAAATCTCGTCTCGTGATTGGCGGCCTGGCGGGTATCGATATTCAAAATGAGGGTTGGTCGAGCGCCGGCGTGATACCAGCCGTAGAACTCGCTTTGGAAAGAGTCAATAACCATTCGGAGATTCTGAAGGATTATTACTTGGATATAGAATGGAAAGACTCGAAGGTATGTCTGTCATATTTGTATCGACTTTTTGACAGCTAGATATTAATCTTTATCTAATCATCTATTTGAAGTGTGCGAGTGGTTTTGGTATAAAAAGCATGATTGAGCACCTCACCGAAACGCCGTCAAAAATTGCATTCCTCGGACCTGGTTGCTCGATTGCAGCCGACCCGGTTGCTGAGACGCTGCCATTTTGGAATCTCACCGAGGTATATCGCAAGACATTGAAGCCTTTCTGGGGCCAGTTGTTCGAAAAGCGTTTAGCTTAAACGCCGAATAAGCCAAAGTTTAAAAATACTCTCATAGATCTTGTGAATGACTGAACCTGCATCTCATGCATTTAATATGTATACTTCCATTCATAATTAAACTATTTACATCGAAAATTTCGGCTCTGTTGTTCAATAAATAGATCATTTTGTTTTCCATTTTTAACTTATCCACCGTTTAAGATAAACACCTTTCGAACAATCGGCCCCTGATTGGATTTCCACTTGCAGTGAGTACTAAATGGTTCGCTAGCACAAAACTTTTGAATCATATGCAAACAATTAACAGAAAGAAGTGACGGCTGCCATCAGTATAGCGTGTCTTGGAACCAAACAACAAGCTTTTTAGAATTAGCATTAAACTGGTCTGCATGTTTTTTGCGAAACGGTTACTCGTTGATAATGAGTTTATCTTTCGTTTTGCGATAGATTAGCTTCAGCCTGACATCGCCAATCCTATCAAACAAGGAAAAATATCCCAATATATACCGCATCAATCCCTCAGAGATCATCCATGATCCAGCATTGTTGGCCTTGACGAATCATTTCAATTGGGAGAGACTTTTCATCATCAAACACGAACTGGGTTTATTTAACTTGGTACGTTCTGATATAAATTTTAGAGAATTTCTTTGGAATGTGCTTGCAGTATAGATCCGACGGTCAGAGCTGCCGTTTCGCTGTGGAACACATGTGAAATCTTTAAGTTGTTTGTTGTTGTTTTAAATCACTTGTAGATTACAGAAGCATTGCAAGCAATGTTGACAAGAAATAAGAAAAGAGTTAACGTTGTTGGTTTTCTTAGAAACGCCACAAGTCCAATCAAATTATTGAAGGTAAAACTACGGTTTGAATTTTCCTGCAATTTTTATTTTTGATTTATCATGCTTATTTTATATTGTTAAGTGTGTTCTATGTTCTACAGGACCAAGGTGCAAGAATTCTTATCGTTTATATGTATGAAAGCCAAGCACGAGATTTATTCTGTGCGGTAAATTTCGTTCTTTTTTGAAATATACCATACCATACCATACCATGCCATGCCATGCCATGCCATGCCATGCCATGCCATGCCATGCCATGCCATGCCATGCCATGCCATGCCATGCCATGCCATGCCATGCCATGCCATGCCATGCCATGCCATGCCATGCCATAATAAAAAACTGACATGCATGCATTTTTTCATACAGGCTTTTAAGAATGAATTTTACGGTCCAGAAATCGTGTGGATTTTGCGCGGATGGTACCAAAAACAGTGGTGGACTATACCTGATACAGAATGTTCAGTTGAAGATATGAGGAAGGTCATGACAAACGTGATCTACGCCGATCATGTTAATTACGGAACTAATAAAAATGTTACAGTACTTGGATTGGTAAGTTACCACAGTTGTCAAGCTAATAATGAAAAACTCCAAGTTTAGGTCGATTGGGTCCTTTTTTAAAATAAGCTGTGAAGGAAGTTACCAATGAATAAATAAATAAATGTACCAGATGAGAACCAGCATTCTACATCGATTTATTGTTTTTCCCCGAAAGACGCAGGCAGAATTTCAGGACAAATACAACGAGTTGATTCGAAAGAAGAACAGTACGATCTACGATGCCAACAAATATGCTCCTTATAGTTACGATGGTATTTTCATGCTTGCTCACGCATTAAACGCCACGGAAGAAGAGTTGAAAAGAATGAACCAATCCCTGCGCGACTTCACGTATGCACGGCTGGATATCACTGAGATTATTAAAGAGAAGATCAGTAAAACGGATGACATCGAAGGACTAACTGTGAGTGAGAAAACCTGATCTTTCTAACTGTACCTTCTCATTCGTAATTCCCACCTCTTTTTCATGCCCGTCATCTTGTTGGCTGAAGTCACAAACACCTACACTTATCCCATCTTCTTCACCAACACCTACCTGAACTCCCATCTTCTTCACCAACACCTACCATTTTCTTCACCAACACCTCCCATCTTCTTCACCAACACCTACCACCTCCCATCTTCTTCAGTTAAATCTACCACTTCCCATCTTCCTCACCAACACCTACCACCTCTAATCTTTTTCACGGATACCCACAATGTTTGATGTTTCATCTTCTCTTGCAACCATCACCTGATATTCCATCATGTACTTCAGGGCGATATCAAACTCGATAAAAGAGGAGATCGTATTGTAAACGTGTGGCTTCAACAACTTCAAGGCGGTAAGCAACACTTAATTCATTGCAATTCATCTTTTGCCATTCCTAGTAATGTCCGCATCAATATATTTAGGGGATCACGATGTGGTGAACATTGCTTTATACAACACAGAAAACAATTCTATCAATTTCTTGCCATCCAAGAGCTTTATTTGGGCTGGTAAGAAAGATTGCTTTTAACTCAACGTATGAAATACCGTACATACAGTAACTGCAACATTTTACATATCAGGTGGAGACGTTCCATTGGACAAACGAGCAGAGACGAAGATTCTTCTATGTATATCACAGCGGATATTTTGGTGGACCGTGGGCATTTCAATATGTGGACTTTTTATCGCTTTTTATTTTCTGTGGCTTAATGCAAAAAACGGAGAAGAAAGGTAAACTCAAGGCTAATAAGAGAAAAAGTTTGTGCTAGGATTTCTCGAATTATCGTGCTTTGTGTGAAGTTAGCATGCGAGTTATCATATTAGCTCTGTGTTCTGATTATATGGGAGAAGATTCACATGAACTTTCATCAATATCTCAAGCAACTCGTACAGATATAATTTCACAATCATAATTTCGCTGATAGACAATTTACATTATAATTCCTCGTCATCTCTGAGACGCTTAAACAAAGCCTCGTCTTTTTCACCTGCAAATTTCGTCAATTTTAGGTACTTCAAGATGTCAACTCCGCCGCTCAATAATCTCATGATAATTGGGGCTATAATCTCATATATCTACGTGCCAATTTGTGGAGTTAAATCCTGCACCATGAATGCAACTTTTACCAACTCGATCCTGTGCAAGGTAATGTGTTCTTCTGCCTTTACTGAAAAGATAGCTTTCCATTACAACACGCTTTGTGAGAATATTTGCGCTCTTCTTAAAACGACTGGTAACTTCAAAACATCGTTAATATCGTTAATGTTATTTATCCACATTTTGTCTTTTGATTAATTTTGTTATTTTGAAATCAAATTACAATGTTCACGATTTAAAACCCTATATACCACTGTTTCGTATTTTCAATATACGTATGTTGCCAAGACGCAAGGCAGTTTACTATACGACCATGGTCGAGTTCGCCAGAAAAAAAATATTTCGACCATAGTCGACCTCGCCGGAAAATGACGAATACGACCATGGTCGTATTGGCCGGAAAATGACGAATACGACCATTGTCGTATCATGGTCGTATTTGCCGGAAAATGACGAATACGACCATGGTCGTATTGGCCGGAAAATGACGAATACGACCATGGTCGTATCATGGTCGTATTGGCCGGAAAATGACGAATACGACCATATTCGTATCATGCCCGTATTGGCCGGAAAATGACGAATACGACCATGGTCGTATTGGCCGGAAAATGACGAATACGACCATGGTCGTATCATGGTTGTATTGGCCGGAAAATGACGAATACGACCATGGTCGTATTGGCCTGAAAATAACGAATACGACCACGGTCGTATCATGGTCGCATTGGCCGGAAAATGACGAATACGACCGTGGTCGTATTGGCCAGAAAATGACGAATACGACCATGGTCGTATTGGCCGGAAAATGACGAATACGACCATGGTTGTATAATGGCCGTGTTGGCCGGAAAATGATGGATACGACCATGGTCGTATTGGCCAGAAAATGACGAATACGACCATGGTCGTATTGGCTGGAAAATGACGAATACGACCATGTTCGTATCATGGTCGTATTGGCCGGAAAATGACGAATACGATCATGGTCGTATCATGGTCGTATTGGCCGGGAAATGACGAATACGACCATGGTCGTATTGGCCGGAAAATGACGAATACGACCATGGTCGTATCATGGTCGTATTTGCCGGAAAATGACGAATACGACCATGGTCGTATCATGGTCGTATTGGCCAGAAAATGACGAATACGACCATGGTCGTATCATGGTCGTATTGGCTGGAAAATGACGAATACGACCATGGTCGTATCATGGTCGTATTGGCCGGAAAATGACGAATACGACCATGGTCGTATTGGCCTGAAAATAACGAATACGACCACGGTCGTATCATGGTCGCATTGGCCGGAAAATGACGAATACGACCGTGGTCGTATTGGCCAGAAAATGACGAATACGACCATGGTCGTATTGGCCGGAAAATGACGAATACGACCATGGTTGTATAATGGCCGTGTTGGCCGGAAAATGATGGATACGACCATGGTCGTATTGGCCAGAAAATGACGAATACGACCATGGTCGTATTGGCTGGAAAATGACGAATACGACCATGTTCGTATCATGGTCGTATTGGCCGGAAAATGACGAATACGATCATGGTCGTATCATGGTCGTATTGGCCGGGAAATGACGAATACGACCATGGTCGTATTGGCCGGAAAATGACGAATACGACCATGGTCGTATCATGGTCGTATTTGCCGGAAAATGACGAATACGACCATGGTCGTATCATGGTCGTATTGGCCAGAAAATGACGAATACGACCATGGTCGTATCATGGTCGTATTGGCTGGAAAATGACGAATACGACCATGGTCGTATCATGGTCGTATTGGCCGGAAAATGACGAATACGACCATGGTCGTATTGGCCAGAAAATGACGAATACGACCATGGTCGTATTGGCCGGAAAATGACGAATACGACCATGGTCGTATCATGGTCGTATTGGCCGGAAAATGACGAATACGACCATGGTTGTATAATGGCCGTGTTGGCCGGAAAATAATGGATACGACCATGGTCGTATTGGCCAGAAAATGACGAATACGACCATGGTCGTATTGGCCGGAAAATGACGAATACGACCATGGTCGTATCATGGTCGTATTGGCCGGAAAATGGAAAATACGACCATGGTCGAGTTCGCTGGAAAATTGCAAATACGACCATGGTCGAGTTCGCCGGAAAATGGCAAATACGACCATGGTCATATTCGCCGGAAGGTGGCAAATACGACCATGGTCATATTCGCCGGAAAATGGCAAATATACGACCATGGTCGAGTTCGGTGGAAAATGTCAAATATACGACCATGGTCGAGTTCGCCGGAAAATTGGAAATGCGAGTGAGTCTAGTGCAACAATTCGTTTAAAGTTCTTGTGGTATCACGTACAAGAATTTAGTAAAGGCTTATTTGCCTTTGACCAAATATATCCAGCGGACACTGCGCTATTTTTGTCAACAAAAAGGTAATTTATGCAAAAGGAAATATTGCGACGTGTTCATGACAACATGGTTTTTCGTTAAACAGTATTCATTCCTGACTTGATTGATGTGACTTAGTAAACATTCATACATAGCTATCTTAATCGATTCAATGGATGATCGCAATGAATAATGAGTTCTGTTCTTAATTGATATACTGCCATTTCCTTATTTTTGGCGGGAATGTCAATTTAACGTTTGTTTGTTATAAATGTTTTTGAACCATGGCATAAGTATGTTAATACATAATCTGCTTGATTGAACATATTTTGATTGTTTTGAATTAGTTTTGAATCTTTCCTAAAGTATCCTTTGTTTCTTCAAGATTGACGCTTTCCTAATTTCCATCGCATTCTCGCTAATTTTCGGTGCGATATTTATGAAAACGTGGAGAATTTACAAAATATTTACAAACGTAAAATTATCTAAACAGGTAAGAAGACATGTTTTTCATAAAAATGTTTTCTTCAACTCATGTGTTCAATAACAACAATGTGTATATCATCCGTTTAGTTAAGATTTCTCACCAACAAACATTTGATAATCCTTGTTCTTTTGTTGGTGGCTTTCGACATCGCCTATCTTACGTTGTGGAGCGCTATTCATCCTTTGGAAGACAGCGTAAAAAAGGTTTTGACAGAGGTTTGTGATATGATATTCCGGCTACTTCCAGTACGAACAAATGTGAGGGAAATTATTGAAACGAAAATTTCAAAATTGAAAAACTACAAAAAGAAAAAAACAAATTAAAATTGATATTTCTAAATTCAAGCATGCCTTGAACCAGGGTTTGCAGATAAAATTATATGTGAAGCTGTAGAGGAAGCCGTAGAGGGCTTCTGTAGGTCGCAATTGTAGACTACTTGTAAAGGTAAATTTCTACAAGTATGAGATTCAATGTCTTTTTATTCCCAGAAAAACCAGGCCGTAAACAAGGTATATTTTGCTCACAAGTGCACATCTGAGCATTATCAAGAATGGTTCGCCGGCTTAGCTTCCTGTAAGGCACTTCTGATGCTCTTTGGGATGTTTCTCACATGGGAAACACGAAATGTCTCATTTCCTGGTCTCAACGACTCGAAGTACATTGGCATTTGTGTGTACAACATCTTCATAATCACCACCGTTGTTATGCCAGTGGTCATGTTTGCATTGCCAATCGACGTGAATGCCAAATATTGCGTCATCGTCTTCAGTGTTCTTTTTTGTACAACGACCACGCTGGTACTCATGTTTTTTTCGAAGGTATATTCAGTTCAAAAAGTTTTAAGTCTTGTTGTTGTTCAAACATTGCAATAGATAGGAGAAAGTACCGTGAAATTGGAGATAAAATGGCTACAGAAATAGTCTAAAAATATGGTTTCAGTTAAGGGTTTCTGTCAAGCGGCTGAATTGAGTAGGATTTCTACCCATAACAGAGGATTAAGTAGACTTGTTCAGCGATTGGGAATGATTTTTTGTGACCCTTCATTGCAGATCAATCCTGGAAGGAAGTCTACTATTACTCCAACTAACCCCACGATGACTGTGGACCAGACGATGGACGTGGTCGAAGCGCGCGAGAGAAAAGCCCACAGAAAAATGCCATCGGACAATGCCCTACCTGTAAACATCCAAAGCCCTGAACTTTTTTGAGGTGTTTCACAAAACTGAATCTAGTTAATGGATCAGACAGTTTTATCCAAGTGCACACCGATCCTAAGTTCGCATTGCAATACACCAAGATTTTTAAGAATATAGTAAAAAAGGCATGTGGTTACTTTTAAACCTAAACACAAATTTTAATAAACGTTTTCTGTAAGTATATATGACAGATTAACCCAGAACAGATGCAAAGACAGCGATACACAATCGACCATCATTTAGACTCGGTGCATGGTAAGTCAGATGACTTTGAATATCGAGCCATGTCGTGTATTTCACCCGGATAAGTTAAACTGCACCAAGTCTTAACCCTGAATTAAAGGATGCCTAAATATTCACTAAATGGAACAGAAAATAAGCTGCAAATTTAAACTAGAACATAAAAGAAAAGTTCAACCGGTAAGGAGCAAAAAAATGTAAATACAAATTAAATTAAAATGTTGAAACAACCATATACTATAATATATATCACAGGCAACTAAGGGCATTTGCAAAATCACACTTAAACTTTTTACCGATGTTCGTGCGCGCCATTATTGGCCAACATCGCGTTTTAACTTAACCTGAAGCATTAAGGTGAAGGCTATTTCAGATATGTCAGAGCACCTCGTCACCAGGCCTCCAACTCATACGCGGCCACAATATCCAATATGGCGACCAGACATAGGAGTGTATATTTTATGTTTAATTCATGACTTCATGTTAAATATTTAATTCATGACTTCATGTTCCATTCGTGTCCATTCATTGTTTATAACATATGATATGTTCCCAAGTTAAAATAAAGTAATCATCACGAATACATTTTCGGTCGCAAGCATAGTAGCATACTGTCATGGATTGTTTATACAGTAATCAGTATGATATTTTAACTGCAAAGCTTGAGCTGGTGTGGGTTTTTTTCTTTTCTTATATTACTGCAATGATATCTTCGGTAATATATTTTATTAATATTTTTCAATTCGCATGGCTATATTTTCCGCACTTTACAATATTTCGCAGCGAAATTTGGCAATTTAATAAGTTTAGTATGTACTTTTCGTAAATTCCCTTTTTGTTGCCTAAATCAAGAGTTGGTCTATTATGCAAAACAGCAAAAGGTTTGCAATCATATACCCCTCAATGCCAACATGTAGATAGAAGCAGTTTTTAACCTGCACTCCTGGGCTTTTTTTGCCCCCCGCATAAGATTTCCTAAAGAACCGTAGTTTGTTACAAGTCCCAAACCGATACTTCTCGGCTCGGCGACTATGGAGCAAAATCAACAAAGCGAATCATTTCGTCCGAACATCGATCACTTGGTAGAGAATAATCCTTTTTTTGGGTACGTTACATCTTTTGAAAGAGCTCTAGAAATCGTCAAAGAGTACGAAATAAAAACAACAACAAGATTTACCGTGTATACGCGCAGTAACAACTTCGGAAATGCAGGTAAGTCAAAGCGTGCATTATGGAAATTTCCCGCTCAAACGCTCATTTGATTTGAAAATGTAATTTTTCGATCTATATTTTATTTTCACCCAAGTATGTGTTCTTAAAACTGCATCTGTCATTACAAGATAAAGAAAACGGATGTGTAATAAAATACAATTCGGCTAAAAGCAATAAAATTTACATTTGTTTATAGACAGGGGTTTTCCCTGATGTTGTACTTCGGCCTTGGGGTATTAAATCAATGTTGAGTGTTTTACACTTGATAGAATCGAAAACTTTAAAATTTTATTAATATTTCTCAATCAAATCAACCCAAAAGAGTAAGAAATAAAAGGCAACTTAGCAACGATGACATAAAAATATGCTCTCAGACTAAAAGCAATTAAACCTTAATATTCAAGAATGCATGGTCGCGGGGTTTTCCCTGCCATGGGGAACGTCAATATTGTATTTCTATCGCATCGCATAGTGTCACATTCACCGTAACATAAATTTACACTAAATTTTATTTAGCGTTTGAGGATTTTTCAAATACATCCATGAATTTGTTGTTTCCGCAGATTTCGAAGATGGGACATCGCGTCGCGTACTTTGGCAGTCTAAAAGTAATTCAGAAGCAGCTACTATACCCTTTGATGGTACGCCGTATTTTTTGGTTGGTAATTACATCTTGGAGTGTCAGCATGGTGTGGACAGAAATCTGTATCAAAAGAATAAGCATGCAGCAAAATTTAAAGTAGGTTTCGTAAAAATGTATGCATTAAGGAAAAAAGAGCAGCTATGTGCTAGAGATAGTTCCCTTTTAAAAAACATAATTCTAGACTCTTAATCTTACACAATGTCCTGCATAAACCTGCAATACATTTTTTACGATCTCCTATAAAAATCCCTATCAAGATTATTTCCAAATAATAAATTAACTTTGTTTTAACAGGATGGAGATTTTGTAATGAAAAAGAGGAGATTTTGGAAACACGATACCAAAAAATTGGACTGCGCTGCAGTTATTTACATGAAAGAAGTGGTAAAATTTCCTGACTTCAAGGTATCAACAATTATCTTATCATTTATATACGTAATATGAAATATATATATATATATATATATATATTTATATACAGTCTTTTATAACATTTACCTCATCCCAGGTTTCCGTTGATGCCAAAAAGAAAAAGAGAGACTCGACGTCAAACGCTCTACGAAACGAACTCCAGAACGGACGCCCAACAATGGAACACAGGATTTATATTTCTTTTCCAAAACCAGAAAATCACACCACACATAAAATTGGGCAGGTATAACATGTGATGCCTGTTTATTCATTCTTATATCACATTCCTCATCCTATATTTACCTTCATAATTAATTAGTACATCAATTATAACGTCACTATACTGACGCTGAGGCGAACTTTTGTGTAAAATGCTGGTCTTCACATCAACATTTTATACTAAAATACAAAATGGAAAGACCAAAAATTATTTCTTGTACATTTTCTTAATTTCATGTACTTTGTATTTAATTCAGCATGCAGGTATGGTACAACGAATTGATGGAGAGATAATTGAGAAGATCGGTAAACTCGTGGGTGAAGGGGTACGGAATGTGGACGAGATGCGACGACATCTGAAAATTTACGTTAAGGATGAAATGTTTCGTGGTAAACAACAACCAGAACGAAACAACCGTAGATATTTCCCGACAGGAAAGACGATTAAGAATCATATGTACAGCGCAACAATGAAATCAAGACTCTCCGTCATCGACCAAGAGAATGTACAAGAAATTGTTGAAATGTGGAAGAATGAGCCATCTCGAGCGACTGACAAATTTTTCTTTCGCCCATACAAAGAAGGTAGCGGGGAAGAATCTACGAACGAAGAAGACGGTCATGATAGCGACAACGGTGAAGATGAAGGTGAAGATGAGGTCATAACAAAGGCGAAAAGGCAAGATGGGCGACTGCTTTTTGTCCATCAAACAGCATGGCAATCTAGGTTGCTTGCTAGATATGGAGAAGACTTGGCCTTTCTCGATGCAACATACAAGACCACCAAATACTCTCTGCCTCTGTTCTTCGTTGCCGTCAAAACTAATGTCGATTACGCCATCGTCGCTTCGTTTATCGTGCAAGATGAGACAACTGAAAGTATCTCAGAGGCTCTTTCAATTCTTCATCAATGGAATCCTCAATGGCAACCAAGACACTTCATGACGGATCTGTGCGAAGAGGAGATAAATTCCATAGAGACCATTTTTCCAGGTAAACACATAACTAAAAAAGTAAAACTTCCATTTAAAGAATACAGAAGAGGTCACTATCTAGGCAGAGAGCAATTCTATTATTATTTTACATTATGTTATACTAGATTGCCAGGTATTGTTATGCGATTTTCACCGGGAACAAGCGTGGGAGCGTTGGACGGCAAAGAAAGGCAATGGAGTGAGCGACTCTCGAGAAACACTACTGACCCTAATGCGACAGATAGCTCGGTCAAAGACAGAGGAAAGCTTTGAAGATTCTCTACGAAATCTACAACTAACTGCCGATTGGAAAGGCAACGAAAAACTTAGGCGATGGTTTGAGATTACTTGGTTAAAACATAAAAAGGTAAGGTATTTGTAAAGGTCATTATTAATTGCGGTAAAATTTTGATAATGCTGCATACATATGGGCGTTTAAGGGAGTCTCGTTCATACTCATGAGCGCACCACGCACTAGACCCTTTCCATCCTTACTTCGTCTTGGCCAGGGAACCTCATACATGTTTTAGAACAGAACGTGATTGTCTCGCAATTTATGAGAACGATGCTACCGGGCCAAGAAGAAATACGTCTATTACATTTATTTACAAGTAATTGTTTTTTGCAGAAATGGGTGTGGGCGTACCGAAAGGAACGGACGCTGGTATACGTCAGTACAAACAATGGCTTGGAAAGGCAAAATGGTGCTTTTAAACACAAATACCTGCAAAAGTTACGGAAACATTCACTAAGTGTTATGTTGAAAATTTTAATTGATGAATTCCTTCCAGATAAATATGAGAGGTATGAACGTTTCATCCAATTAACAAATTTTGTGTCATAATATTTTTCATAATTGAGCAACAAATTTCAGGGAAAATTAGATTCTGAATTACAGTAAATGCAATTGTAATTGGTTATACGTGTTAGCATCTGAAGCACCTGTCTGAAGCAGTTTGGGATAAAATGGTTAATGTACCTGCACCCCTACGATCTTTTCAAATGTATTATTTGAATTTAGTATTTCTGTTTTTTAGTTACATTGCCAATAATGCAGAATGTTCGACAGATTGTAAACGCTATAACAAACAACTACCACAGTATTTACACAATCGACCAAACTATTTTGTGGAACACTGCATGAAACGCCTTATCTATGCTGATGAAGCTACGATGCACACAATAAATCAAGACACGGGTATATTTTCAGTAAGAAGTGAGACCCAAAATCAATATTACGAAGTTCACTTTTGTTCTCCAAATGATGAAAATGTGCCACGTTGTGACTGTGTGGATTGGCAGAGACACTACTTACCATGCAAGCACATGTTATCAGTTATAGAGGCGAATAATGGATGGGGATGGTATGATCTACCAGTTGGTTACAGAGAGTCCCCTTACCTAACCATTGACAATGAGATTATATTCAAGAAAATTGATCATCATCAAAACGAAAATAAAGATACCTGTGAGAGTCAAATGCTTCACACAACAAATAATGATAAGATGGAAGAAAACAATGTTGCCCAGCAAAAAGCACAAAGTTTCATAAAAGACGTACCAAAGTCGACATATCCTAAGAGAACATCTGTAACAAGATGCTGTGACCTCGTTGCTAGGATAAAAAGTTTAGTGCATGAATGTATCAACGCAGCGGCATTGGACGAACTAGAGAAAGACCTTGAGCACTCGCTTAGGAAATTTGAACCCAACATTAGCGGTAGAACCACCACAGGAATAACACTTGCTGCCCCTGATAGACCGAGTGCCCCAAAACGTAAAAGAAAGACTCATGAACAGAAGGAAACGCTCTCTACATCACCACGGAGAAAGAAAGCGAAAAAATCTATACTCCCACCTGGAAAGCCAAAGAAAGTGCATCCTTTCAGTAGGAGAACTGGGCAGCGTGCGCAGATGATGAGGAAATATTATAAAACCAGCATGTCCCTAGATGAAATGAGGAAGAAAGAAACAAATCAAGTAGAAGATACTTTACAAGACAGAATACAACCAAACTCAAGGTATATTAATTTCACCCCAACTATTCGAAATGGAATGCCATTAACAACAACAATGCTAAAAAATGGTCCTCATTGTTTATCACTCTTGCAAATAAAATCGTTGGAACCATTTCTTCCAAGAGGAACTGAAATGCTTTTAAAAAGCGTTAATCAACAATTTATTGTTGGCTGGCTATTTGACGAAGTGCTGAATTCGTACTTCTGGTTCTTACAAGAAAATTATAAAAATGTGCTTTACGCACCGTCAACATCAATGCTCGCACTGCAGAAGGGTCTACCATGCAATCGACTATGGAAAGGAGAAGATATCACCACAAAGGATTTTATTCTGGCGCCATGGAATCCAACGGATAATCACTGGACGCTTGTGGCTATTGATTTACGCCGTAAGCAGATTATGTATTTGGATCCAATGATAAACGTTGATATCCACCATAATGTCTTTGCCCAGATGCTTTCAAGATTCATGCCGCAAATGCTTGAAAGACAGTTTCATTTGTCAGGCTTTGAAATTGGATCTTTGCCACACACCTTACAAACAGATTCCATGAGCTGTGGAGTATATGTTTGCTGGTATGCAATGCAACTTGTAAATGGGAAAGCATTGACTGATTGGTGCAACACTAATGTAATGCGAATAACTATTTACAAACAAATTCGTGGTACATGTCTCCAAAGACGTTCTGGGTGTCGACATCTCGAGACAGCAAAGTGCCCGCTATGTCGAATTGAAGTTCAGATTGGTGACAACAATATGAAATGCAGAAGATGTTGCCAGAGCTTTCATATCAGATGTTTAAATGAGAGATTGTTAATTACTGGACAACAAAAAGAATGTACCTTCTTCTGCCCTCCTGTACATACATGTCCACTAAAGTGAATTGCCAATTTTGGAATGTTAAGACTCTTGGGGTTAGACCTTTCAAATTAAATTTAAGATAGTAATTAATGGTATTATGAGTTTTAACAAAATGTATATGTTGTTCGTGGAATAGATGAATATAAGTGCTTTCCTACAGTTATTTGAGCCAGAAACTCCAGATGATTTTTAGCTCCAAATTAATCTGGCAATTAATCTGAGTAATTTCTGGCAGATATACTCATAGCGGCTTGGCTGACAAGTGACAGCAGGAACAATAATGCTATCCTTATATACTATTACATCACATTGGATAATGACATTACTTTGTCTGAATGAAACTCGAACATTAGTGAGTCAGTCTGTAGTACTGTCATACTTAGTTTAATGCATGATCCATTCCCTACATATTATAAGTAAATTAGCTTGTTAGTACACCACGTAAGTATTTAATACTGCAAAGCTTTCGGTCGGTTAACCCAGGCCTTCTTCACTGATGAATCACATTTTATATCAAATTTAATATGGGCATAAATCAGATTTAATATGGGCTTAAATCAGATTTAATATGGGCATATTAAGTTAAATTTAATTAATTTAATTTTATTGCACTGGCCCGGATTAACGGACCGAAAGCTTTGCAGTATTAAATACTAACGTAATGGTACCAACAATCTAAATTACTTTAATATTGATGTCACCATGCAACAGCAAACGTTTATACAAGAATATTATAAACGTATTATAATTCAAAAACAATAATTATACAATAATGTACTTGTATTAATTATTCTGAAATGAATAATTGTGTGAAAACATTAAAGTACAAAGTCTACTCATATATAATAAATTTGCATGTAAACTTACCGTATTTTTAATGATTTGTAAAATATACACTCCTATGTCTGGTCGCCATATTGGATATTGTCGCCGCGCATGAGTTGGAGGCCTGGTGACGAGGTGCTCTGACATATCTGAAATAGCCTTCACCAAGCATTAATTGCGTCAGTTGTCACTTTTTACAAGACAAGCCGCTCCAATTGGCTCTGTAAGAGTCTCATTAATTAAGGTAAGTATGTGAGCGTTGCGTGGTCTGGGTGGAATTTTGTCCGCATTAACAGGGCGAGTTCTCCCAAATAAGGTACGTCTTATACAAGAACCGATGAGTTTGGCTTCCTAATGTCAATCGCTTTAATCTGTTTGTTGAGTAATGCCTTTGCCCTTGTTCACTGATACGGATCACTGATGCGTTCTATAGTCATTCGCATGATTGTCAGCTATTTCTAAGAAATACAACTGCAAAGTGCGCATCTCTCAACGAACAACCAATAAATCAGATTCTGTTTACACTTTACCAGAGTCGCGTGGTCCCGACATCAAAATCAATTACTGTCAAAGCGATTTTATCCCCCAAAAGTATGATTGCATGATTGCTTTAAACGTGACCTGCTGAATTGAATAGTTCTCGGGGACAAAGATAGCGTAAAACAATTTAAACTGACTGTCGTTACTGTGTGAATCTTGTATTGTACAAACGGGGTCTCATTAATGGCGTTACCTTAATGTGGGAAAGCATTCTAAATTACTTTCGTGTGCTAGCATGAAAAAAATTGTACATTTTTGTACTGGGAAGTATAACCAACGTAAATTCCTCGCTTTCAAAATCATTTGTCGTTCGTTCCTGTTTGTGTAATCTAGACAATAAGCTCTCGATATTATAAGGGCAATTATCTAAACCATTCGACCATGGACTGTTCTAATATCGTAATTTAGATGGCAGTAAGAATTTCAAAATATTTCAGCTGCGCGCAAAATGTCATGAAATTGCAGCGTACTGCGTCTCGTGGTTGGAAGAAAGGAGAATATGTCAGCTAAATGTTGTACAAGAGCAGACCGCAGTCAATATAATAATTGCAAAAGTCGGGATCGAAAAAGTCTGCCGAAAGTTTTCAAAGGGAAAAAATTTTCAAACTGTCAAAATTGTCATTCCTTTTTGGCATTTAAATATGATAAGATATTTTAACGTGAATTCAAATAGTGCGTTTAAAAGTCCTAAGTGCACGTGAAGACCTTATTACTGAAGTATTTCCTAAAAACGCAGATGAAGTCAGTGACGAGTTAAACAAGACGGTTAGAATCTAGCGAGTTCAAAGCTTGATTTCTTTGTAGTTATCAGTATTGACTCTTAACCCATACAACATTATTTGCAGTATCCGCTAATGGTTCTATATCCTTTTCGCTGGCTGAAACGTCCAAAATAATCGGTTCTATTATATATCGGTAATATATTATCCATATTAAGGACTGATTGCCTATAGTTATGTACGTTTTATTACGTGGATATAATTTCCAGACGTTTCGCGTGGATTCCCGCTGTGAGATTTGCATACTAATATATTCACAGCATGCCGTGGAATATATAAAGAGCTATTTCTCGAATGGGTGTGTGGTGAATAATCTTACTGATACACGAGCAATCTTCGCTGTTCGAATCGGCCTGGAAGATGTCGGAGTACATGCTATACGCCACCGACATTTCGGCAACGAATTTGCCGAACGTCGAAAGATTTGGAAAGAGCGATCCACTCTGTGTTATAGAGTTTCAAGGTGGGTAAATCGTCTTCTATTTTATGCAAGACGATATGGTTGAGAAAATTTTGCCGTTCGCTTGTTTTGATCATCAAGTCAACCAGATATCCCTGATTTAGCGTTGGTATACTTAAGATTCAGTGCTTGTCGCGTTTATTTCTGCTTTCTGTAGTGAATTTCATGAATATTCCCTTCCTAACTCCGCGATTTGCTGCTTAAACGGCCGACTGTGCATTTGATTTGTAAGCCATATAAAATTTCAATAATACAATATTCGGCAATCTCCATTAATAAAGCATGGTAATGGATGGATTAACGAACCTCATCGCGTCAAAGTGTACTGTACAAATACCTCGCGAAGCCTAAGCGTATTTTACGGGGCTTCAATTTTGTGTACGAAGGATTTCGGTGCTAGAATGTGAGGTGTTGATTTTGAGGATGCCGAGCGGCATAATTTTCTATTCGGTATGAAAATCTGCATACCAATTATACCATAAACGGTTTCGTAATAGAACCTTCAGTAAATTGCGAGAAACGCCTTATATTCGTGTGTGAAGAAACTAACATCAACTGAAGTACAGCTATATATGTGAAGCTAGCTATAGATACGCCTTGCAGTCGTTTCAGTCTAGCATGTGACCTTCAACTAATATTGAAAGGGAAGAATAAATGAGATGTTTACGTTGCCAAATCAAATATTTATTGTTATAAAAATTATACAATTTTGTCCGGACCCTAAATCAACCAGTTCTTCAACAACGTCGTAACTTTGTCGATGGTATTTCACCCAGACCACAGTTATAAATCCTAAAGTTGCAATTCGTCTTCAGAATGTTGCAAATTAACGCATCCCTTCGTTCGGCATGAAAGGAGAACACCTGTTTGCGGGCTGAGCCTGGTTTAAATGGGTGTGGAGTTTTCACGAAAAATAAGACTTGCTTAAATAGCATTTGGTCTAGACATTGAATCTATAATGTTGACACGTTTCGCCGTCAATTTGTTGTGCTTGAGAAATTCTTAATGTTCTACTATTTTGAAAGTCCTTTAATATATTGTATTCAAACTATATATATAAGTTACCATTCCTTAGGTATTTATGATATGCAAAGCGCTTAAAATTATTTTTAAATCACAATATTTGATGGTTGAAAACAACTTTGATAGCTGGAAACAAACAATAGATCTATCAAATCAGTCTTTGTCGTTGTAGTACCTCCACCCTTCCCCCTTCCAAAAAGACAAATGTAGAGCTAACGTTAAATTTTTAGGCACCAAGGGAAAAACTGAGGTGATTGACGACGAGCTGAATCCAGTATGGAAAGAGGTCAGTTATGATAAAAAACAATGCCCCCCCCCTGCCCTTCACACCTGTTTATTAATGACTTATATAAAATGTAGTCATTCCAGAAATCTAGAGTTAATGCTCGTCTCTAATCTAGAGTAATGCCTGTGTTACATCACGTGCTTTGACCTGGCCTAGACCAGGCATAGACCTATATGTGAACGTTGTTTATCCGGCCTAGACCAAGCCTGGACCTGACCTGGGAACAGGCTTTACGCCTTTAGCTAGTCCTGACAAACTTTGAACTCAATAGTTTGATTTGTATATAGGATACATGTAGTATTGCCATCATCAACAAGGAAGACAGTCTGAACGTGGCACATATTACCCAGACTTGTCCTGACCTGGTTCAGGCCAGGTCTAGGCCTGAAGTGTAAACGCGGCTTTACAAACCTTTATATTCATGCAGCCCAACCGGGCTATCCTAAGTTCGTTAAACGCGATAATGATGCATATGATACTAAAGACATTGAGTTGACTATATCGTTGACCTCGAACGCTAAATTTCGATCAACTTTTCAGAAAATTGAGATTGATCTTCAAGGGAAGCCATTATCTTCATCAGACAGTCTGACAATCAAAGTGTTTGACCACGAGAAAATTGGATCAAATAAGTATGCATTGCTTTTGTTTGAAAGATTACTCGCTGTGTAAAAGTGTGTATAATTAACATTAACATTCATCTCCTTTTAATTGACAGACTTCTTGGACAGTGTACAGTGAAGTTGAAAGATTGTGTAAAAGCAAAGACTCAACAAGTCACTCAGAAATTGCAAGATGCGAAAGGTCAACCCTCCGAGGTAGATAATCTTCTAAATGCTTCAATCTCTGATGATTTCCCTCAAAATTAGACAAAAAGGAAGAAGATAGTTCAAGAGTAGCTTCAAACAATTCTCCTACAAACTCGACCGAAAAATAAACCCTGAGAGGTGACAACTTTGGCTAACGGATGATTTTCAACGCTAGGCGCAAATTAGCTGCAAGTTGAACTACAAATGCCCGGAAGAAAAGCCTGCGCCGTCCGCTGGCGGTGGGTCAGCGGAGGAAGGCGAAGAAGAAGGTGACGAAGGCGACGAAGGGGATGAGGGTGATGAAGGTGATGAAGGTGAAGGAGGTGAGCCTGGCGCTCCTGGGGCGAAAAGGAAACGGTGAGTGGAAATTGTAGACAGTTTCGTATTTTTTTATTTCCTATGAATGACATTTGTAATTTGTATGCGACTAAGTAAACAAACAAGAAGCTATAATAACAATGTTAAAATCTTTTTTTTCGTTTTGTTAGAAGGAAAAAGAGAAAGAGAAAAGGTCACGATTTGCCGAACAAGCCAACGGACTTCCAGGTACATTACTTGATAAGTTGGACTGTAATCCAAATCCCCTATTAACTCACCTTTCGGTTGAAGATGTTTAAAAAGAAGTTGAAATCTTTGCAGTGCAGAATGCAAGCATAAAATTTACTGTTTTATGCAAGAGCGTTTCATGCAGTAAAAGTATTTGCTTTCAAATATAATTAATTCTTGTGCATTCCAATATCTTCATTTCCGAAAGCATAAAAACAATATTCTCGCGCATACGTGTGTTGCTCTGTTGATATTTTTTTGAGTGGAATTTTCACTGACGACACTCGTATGATGTGGAAGGTAGACAGTTCTATTGAGTTAGCAAGGAGGATATTTCTGCTAAAAGCTATCTTGAAGATTGTAAATAACGCGTTATCTCTTGTATAGATTCGTATCAAGGTGGTTGAAGGTCGTCAGTTATCAGGCGGAAATATCAATCCGGTTGTAAGAGTGACTGTCGGTGATCAAGTAAAACAAACCAGAGTTAAAAAGTCGACGAACAGACCTTATTACAATCAGGTTTGTTCAGCAAATGCCGATGCAATATGTTATGAATTTCCATGTTAACTTTTGTCAACTATTCCGGGCCGAGTAAGAACTAACGAAGCGAAGTTTAGCAGACTATCTTTAAAATTTAAAACTTCAGTAAATTCAAAGACTATAGCTATTGCACAAAACTTGTATCGGACCTGATACAAATTAGGCGATTAATTTGGTGACATTGTCTCAACACCGCGATAACTTTTTTTTTTATGTTTCCTTGCAGACATTCTACTACAACTTTGGGAACATTACACCGGACGAGCTCTTTGATAAGATCGTGAAATTTGAGGTACTGAAGATCGTTTACTCACCTAATTTGGCTGAAACAAAATCTCAACGCTTTTTTATGACTTTCTATGACATTCTTTTAGGTTTTTAACTCTCGAACGCTCAGATCCGATGCTTTGATTGGATTCTTCAAGGTAATACGAAGATTTTGTTTTGGTTTGAATCGCTTAGCTGCATTTCTGTTAAGCAAGTGCGGTTACTTTATTTACCAACTTATCGAGTTATCGTATATTTTGTTTTCAGTGCGATGTTGGTCTGATTTACGAAGGCAAAGGTTTGTATATTCGACTTTTTCCTTGTCAGAGTTCCCACCTATTTCACTTGCATCATTCAACACTGTTTTCTTTTAATATATTTGTAGATCATGCGTTGCTCAGAAAATGGATTCTTCTCACCCAACCAGAGCAACCAGAAGCCGATGCTCAAGTAATCATCAAATCCTTATCTTTAAAGTACTTCCTTGAGCATACTTTACGTCGCTGACTAAAAAAACTCATTGCAATGTTTTTCCCAGGCGCCTCCGGACGAAGAAGGAACCAAACAGGAAACCACATCGCTCGGCGGATCTCCTGCTGTAAGTTTGAACTAAATATTTACACAGTTTATCAATTATCCGTCGAACTCTCTACGTGAATATTAAACAGTAAAGATCTAAAGCGAATTGAACATTTAGGGATACGTCAAAACATCGATGGTCTGTATTGCACCTGGACAAGATCCTCCGGTGAGCAACTTTGTTGTCTTTTTGTTGTCTGTATCATTCGTTTAAAATACGGTTTGTCGCATTAAAAATACGATTTCTGCTGGTTAGAATCTTTTCCCAGAACTTGTTCCGCTTATTTTGCGAATTCTGCGTTGAGTTGAGCCGTGTTTTGGTGGGGAATATACAATTTGATTTCCATAATTGCATGACATAACTTTTTCCTTTCCTAGTCTCTTGATGAAAGCACAAAAGATGACACAGCCGAAGACATCGAGTCGTAAGTTATATTGCATATAACTCTTGAGTATCCGTGAGTTATCATTTCTTATCAAATCTGAATGTGAATTCAATGAAATACATCAGATTTAGTTGTGTTTCCTGCATCTCTTCCGGCAGCCCTCCTAAGACGTTTTCACACTCGTGTTTACTGAATTTTTTTCAACCTTTTTAAATAGCAACCTACTGCAGCCTGCCGGAGTCCAATTGCGACCAGCCGTGTTCAGACTGAAAATCTTCCATGCTGAAGAATTACCACAAAGTATGTAGCGTGGATTTTGCATTAGACCTAAAAAATTAGAACCTAAACTAACTTGTTGGAAACGTGTGAAAGTAACACAAATTTGATGGAAGACGTGAGGGGAAGATAAACGGAATGAGACATATATTTTTGCCAAATGGTTTGTTGACATTCACAGCTAAACTAGCAAGTTTAAAGTTCTTGTTTGTGTTTATTTAGTGGATACATCAATTGGAGAAAGTGTTAAGAAGTTCTTTGGCTTTGGAAAGGTACATAAGAGCAAAATGTCATTCTTGTTTTAAATGATCAAATTTGTCATGAAATGTCTTTAGTTTTGTTGGATATTTCAAAATAAATAGCGGCTGACATCAAATAAACGACAAATGCTTCGATTGTTTTTAATCTTAGGATGCAAAAATGATGGTGGATCCGTACGCTAAATTCTCATTTGCTGGAAAATCGGTATGCGTTTTTGCAGTTTATATCGGGGACATTGCTTTGAAATAGTTAAGTTCACTGTTTGCTATTTTTTCAACGTGATATCCATCTTTATTCTAAAGGCACAAACGGACATCGAGACGGAAACAGACAACCCAATCTTTAACACAGTCTTGAGTGTCCCATTCCAGGTAAAGGCTGTATTAAACTTGTCTTTAGCACGAAAAATCGGTTTACCCGCAGTCGGTAAAAACAATAAAAGATGGTGTAGTTAATCACAAAGTGTGCACGATTGTTGATTTCTAATTGACTACTGTTCTGTTCATCTTTCGTAGTTCCCGTCAATGTGTGAGAAATTGAAAGTACAATGTTATGATTGGTAAGTCGGTAAACAATGTAGCTATCCATCAATCTTGCGTTTGAAAATACTTACCTTGCTAAAATGAGAATGATAAATGTTGTTGAACTAGCTTTCTTTTAGTTCATAACTGTATATAACATGGATCTTGTTATTGACTCGAATCCCATCCTTAAACCAACCAAAGTATTACGTATTGTCTTTTAGGGATCGTATAACGGGAGACGACATCATTGCGACAGCCTTCATTCACATGTCTGAAATCTCTGGTCAAGGAGAGGAAGGTAGAAATCATCGGTTATCAACGCTTGTACCTTTGTGTCTAGCAATTATGATCGGGATTTCACGGTCAATATACTTTGTTCCAGGGTTCCTTCCTGTTTACGGACCATGTTTTCTCAACATGTATGGCTCTCTTCGTGAATTCAGCGAACTTGGCGATGAATACGAAGATTTGAACAAAGGAATCGTAAGTTGATTGCACTGAAGAATGAAAACTAGTACGAGTATATTTTCTCTTGTTTGTCAACCTTTGGAAAGTAGTAGAAGACAACCTTTTGTGCTAAAATGGAGGCCGTGTTTTCTTCAGGGTGAAGGTGTTTGTTATCGTGGACGTGTTTTGGTTCAGCTTGAAACCCAGTTGGACGCTGAAATCGAAGATGAGGTGGCAGAGATTCCTCAAGAAGATGTCGCACTTGTTCAACCTTTCTTACGACGACGCAAATACAAGCTTTATGCTTGCTTTATGGAAGCCACAATGATCGCCATTGATGACTCGCCTGTCGAGTTTGAAGTCAGCGTTGGTAAGTTAAACATAAGAACTGGATGGGAATATCTGTTGCAAACATGTATTATCATGTATTAGCTATCATGACAGAGATTAGACCTCAATATTGACAGAGAATAGATGATGTATTGTATTATGTCACTTTAGGAAACTACGGTAACAAGCTCGATCGTTCTGTGGAACCATCTTGTTCCACAACTCCACCAACCAATCCTGTATTCGATGGCGAGTTTTATTATTATCTGCCGTGGGGAAACGCGAAACCATGTGTCAACGTTGAATCCCATTGGGAAGATATCGCGTTCCGTTTAAATCCTTTGAACGCGCTAAAGAAAGTTGTGGCTAGATTGGTAAGTCGAATTCTTTCGTCAGGAAAATTCGTTTGAACCTTCGAAGGAAACAGGCTTCTAAAACTAAATACTTTTTTCCTTGTGCTTTTTAGGAAGCCAATGTGGAGAAGGTTAATATCAGTGTCCAGTCGAAAGCACCAACAGCCGAAACTGCCACAATTCTTATCGCTTTGCTTGACCAACTCATCAAAGATTGCAAGTACGTATATTCTTCGATTTCCCATTCTGTAAGAATAATCTGGAGACTAACTAAAGACTCTCTTCCCTTTCAGCACTCCATTACCTCAGTTTGATCTGAGCATGATGGGTGTCACTCGATTGGACATGAAGAACCAAGAAATCCGTATTGATGAAATGGTAAGTTTCTTCTAAGAACATCACACGAGTTGAAATGAAACCTGTTCTATTCTAACAACGTGTTGTATGTAATTTTATTCTGTGTTTCCAAACAAGTAATCCAGAACAAGAGATGGTCTATTTGTAAATAAGTTAGGCATTCAACGAGTAACCTGTCCTTTCGTCTCCATCTTTTGTGTAGGCTGCCATCGCTGAAGAAGCAACAAAACTCCGAGAATGTGCCACGGACGTACAAGAGGCTTTGAGTGAAATACAATCTTACCTTACACGTTTGAAGGACGTCGCTGTGGAGGTAATAGAAAATGGTTTTCATCTAGCCTTCGTTTATAAGAAACATCCTTACAATAATTCAGAGGTCAGTGGAGAAGATTCGTGCCTTAATTCATTTCAATTCGTGATTTTTTGCCAGCCTCAAAACAGCATGCCTGATATCGTTATTTGGATGATAAGTGGAAGCGATCGTGTCGCCTATTACAGAATTCCTGCCTACGATTTGCTGTTTAACAACAATCCAGAGTATTCTGGACAGTTCTGTAAAAAAGTTCTTGATCTTGAGCTGAAGGTAAGCGCTTTTTCCGTCTTTCCAGACCTAATGATGAATTCATCACCATTGACTTAACCATTAAGTTATTTTTTCAACTAAATGTCTTTCGACTTAACAAGTTTTCATATCGTTTCAACGATAAATTTTCATATGTTCCGGTCCGTCAAGTTTATAATGTGTATGAATCATCTTCTTCAGTATCCTGGCAAGAAAGGACGTAATACAAAGGATCATCCCGAGTTACCTGCATTGGTTCGTTGTATCTTGTGGTTTGGCTTGGACTCTGACTCTCAGGATTGGACGGGTGTTCACGATGAAGGATCATTCACCGTTTTTGCCGAGACGGTAGGCGACGCGTTGAACTCAGCTTAGCTATTCCGTATATTTCTTTTAAATACACTGAAAGAAATGCAGGAATCTCTAACGCTTTATGCCAGGCTAATACGGAATCTCCGTGGTCAAAATCTCTGATTTTTTTTCAGTATGAAAATCAACAAAATGTTCTCAGCAAATGGACCAGCAAGGCTCTGATGCGACCCAAGTTTTCTGACTCAAAAGGCGATGTAAGTGTTTGAACTAGGGGTAGCTTGATGTCTTTTGTTTACATGTCTGAAAAGAATAATTCGCGCGAGGACAAACGAAATTCAGCTTACTTTTATCGACCTAGTTCAAACTACCAAAAGACAAATTCATTCCTCCGGATGGATGGGGCTGGGACGGAGACTGGTTCTTGAATCCAGAACTCAGGTAAGGCGGATTATCGCCACAGCTTGAACTTGGAATATCTTCTTCAGAAAGAGGTGGGATACGAATACAACATCAACTATTCTTAATCTTTCAGCACAAACGTTAGCAAAGATGCTGGTCGCAAGGTCTTCCTCGAAGACACGTTTGAATGTGAGGATAGAAATATTCCTGGCGGAGCATGGGCACCAGCCAAAGTTCCTTGGCAAGAAATAGTATGTTTTCGATAACTTTTTCAGTTTGATCTCCTGTAAATCCATCATTGCACGTTCTTGTCATGGTAGTAACCACATGCTAGTAAGACCAGAAGGCAATTCTCTTTCACTTCGAATAAAATCCTCTTGACCATGTGTAGGTCACATTAAAAATCCTCCTATATCCTGCCTTTAGTCTTCTTCTTCGACTCTAGTAAATGCTTTAATCGGGTTCTTTTAGAATGGAGATGCTTGTATCGACTTACAAGGTGAAGCGATCAAATCGCGTGAACAACTCGGTGCTCCGAACGGCTGGGAATGGACCCAAGATTGGGTGGTTGACAGCAACAGAGCAGTGGACGAAAACGGTAATTGTTTGCCTTTTGTAAACCTTTGTTCTTCCCTCGACCACCAATCAATTGAGTCAAACTCCTATGCTCTCCAAATATCGTAAATATCTTCAATAAGGCATCGTTATGGAACTTTATCAGCGCGAGGCTTACAATATCCCTTTGAAAATATCCAGCGTATTGGCACTAAAATCCTTCCCGAAGTTGTAGGAAGGATTATGTCCAAAATTGATTCAAACCATTATCAAATTTTTGTGCTTTTTAGGTTGGGAATACACCATTGATTCTTCGTGGACTGGTTTTGGTCCAGTGGAGAAAACGTATCATCTTTGTAGGAGAAGACGCTGGGTTCGTGAGAGAAAGTTGGTAACAGATCTGCGAAAAGTTGAAGCAGAGAAGGTAATAAAGTTGAAAACATTGCGTAGGTGGTTTTATCATGACTAATCTCTCTTTCAACGAGGATTACAATCATCCATTTACACAATACTCAACGTCCATTCACACAACGTCCATTCATTCCTCTTTGATTATTTTCTAGGCTCGTGCAGCTCAACTTGCTGCCGAGGGCTGGGAATATGCCAAAGTATTCACTGCAAAATTCCACGTCAAAGAACGAACTATGGACTTGGTGCGAAGACGCCGTTGGCACAGAAAATTGGTTCAGAAAAGCGACGTTGCTGCTGCTCCTGTTTTCAAGATGGACGTTGGCGATGTGAGTTTCTCCCTTCATTCAGTTTAAAACGACAATTAAAAACATTAATATTGCAATCATGAGAAAAATAACATTCTCATATTTAAAATCTGTGCATTTAGAAAGAAGATGAATCCGAAAACACGATGAATTCTCCGCGAATGTTCCTGACTTACGATAGTAAGATTTTAATTGTATTATGTTTGGATTAAAGGCATATGTGCTTGAAAATGGTTTTTTTGAGTTTCCCAATTTTGCTTTTTAAATTAAATTCTGTTTTTTTTCTCATTCAAGAACCTCATCAGTATCAGCTCCGCGTGTACATCTATCAAGCACGTGATCTTGTTCCTTCGGACCAAGATGGATATTCAGGTACATTTATGAAAAGTTAGTGCCATGATGGAGACCTGGGGGCCTTTAACAAACCTCAGCCTGGTTCATACTGAGCTGTATCTTTTGTAATTCATCTTAGCTGAAATTAGCGAGAACATTTAGCACATTTCCTTCACGTTGCTTTAAATATCTACTACAATTTCATAGATCCATATGTCAGAGTCGTCTTTGGCAACGTTTGTCAAACCACGGAGCCGTTGGAAAAGACTTTATGCCCCACTTGGGACCAAACTCTGATATTCGAAAATGTTGGCATCCATGGATCTGTCCAGAGCGTTCTTGACAATCCTCCGAATATTTTGATGGAGATCTTCGACGAGGATAAAGTGGTGGGTATCCCCTTCCATGCGCCCTCAATACAATATTCGTGCACACGTCATGATAGGCAGAATATCAGTGATTTATCATCTGAACTTGTTCATATTAGGGTAAGGACGAGTTCCTTGGCCGCGCACGTGCTGAGCCCGTGGTTCGTGTGAACGGAAGTGAAGGCGGCGCAGCTCGTTTGGCCTGGTACACAGTTGAGAAGGATGGCGGCTATGCTGGAGATATTTTGGCTGCGTTTGAATTATTTTTGGTAAGTTTTTGCAGAATACCACCCACGGTCTCTTGGTTTAGATTTCCTTCTGTACTAAAGCTATATCAATAAGATATGATTCCTATGGAACATCTATCTGGATCAACTGATCAAGAACAACTGATCAGGTTATCTAGTAAAAATATAGTTCTAAAAACAAGAAGAGGTTCAGGACTGATAAGAGGTTGAGAAGAGGTTCAGGACTGATAAAGCCTACCAATATTCAGTAAAAACTTTGTTTCGTTTCTAGGACGAAGGCGCCGAACTGCCTTTCGCTCCACCAATGCGCGGAGATTTTTACCTTGTTCCGAATGGAGTCAGACCTGTGTTACAAAGAACTGCTCTAGAGGTGAGTAGCATTACGATATCTTAATCTTGTTTTAACCTCTCACATTTTATGACGTCCTTCCTCTTTCCCCAGGTCATGTGTTGGGGGTTAAGAAACATGAAGAAATATCAGCTGACAAGCGTGTCATCCCCAAGCATCGACTTTGAAATTGGCGACCAGAAAATCACCTCCACTGTCATTAAGAATTTGAAACGAAATCCAAACTTTGACCAGCCATTGTTCTTCTTCGATGTGGTTAGTAGTTTTTAAACATATTTTTGAGATCTTGATTTAAACTCATTTAAACAAGAGCAAGGTTGTTTTCCTAAGTTTTTTGAAGGAAAACTTGGTTTTTAACTGTCCTTCGTGTATTTTCAGTACCTTCCAAAAGAAGAGATTTATTCCCCTCCTTTGCGTATCAAAGTTCGCGACCATCGAACATTTGGTCGAGCACCAGTGGTTGGAACTCATTTGGTGAAGTCTTTGGCGCCGTTCCGTCGTGAAGTACCACAAGAGGACAACAACTCCGACATCGTTCCTTCAGGTATGGGCACCTTTGTTGAAGATTTGAATGATTTCCAGATAACAATCCCACATCCAAAGAGAGGATCTTAATCTTAGCCAATGTTGACAAGTTATGTCCTTACAGGTGACCAGGTCGATGCCGCGCCAGCCACAGCTGTGGTTGAAATGAAAGAAGAAGCAAAGGTAACAATATCTTCCCGCCTTTCTAAACCACGTTCCTTGTCCAGAAAAGTTATCTGTCCACATACGAGCAGAGCTGGAAAGAAAATAGCGCCTGTGGCTGTGGATGAGGAAATTTGATTTGTGTTGTGTTCACATTGTTATTTAACAAATTGCCTACATATCCCAGGTTCCACAATCTTGACAATTCCTCTATTATGTTTAGGATCCAAAGGAAGATGAACAAATCGATTGGTGGTCTAAATTCTACGCCTCAATTGGCGACGAGGAGAGAGCAGGAGAATACAACGACAAGGGATACGACAAACTCACGGTAGGAGGAGTTGATGTGAATCATTTCAGACGTTTGTGGGCAATGGTCGTGTCTATAGGGAGGGGTGATCTTGTGTCTTGATCTTGTATCTTTACTTTCCCCAAGGTGTACCCAGGACCTCTTGAGAGAGTTGAAGAATTTGGAGGTCTCTGCGATTTCCTTGACACCTTCTCATTGGTCCGTGGAAAGAAGAAGAAACGGCCTGACGATGATGATGAAGAAGTGGGAGAATTTAAGGTTTGTTGTAAACGAATGCATCAATAGAATCATCCGTTATTTTTCTGAAATCTCAATGTTTTCGACTAGATTTACCGTGGTATAATTTTGTTTAGGGAACGTTCCGCGTGTATCCATTACCTGCAGATCCAAATGAACCTTTGCCACCAAAAGCCATTAGAAACTTACCTCCGTCTGAGCCTATTGAATGTATTGTGAGAGCTTACATTATTCGAGTAAGTTTGATTTACGTTTGAATACAATTTCCCATCTTTGACAGTTAGACTGTCCACTGAAAGTTACGTTTTAAACTCAATTTTCGTACTTCTTTACTTTAGGCCATTGATTTACCACCTCAAGACAACAGTGGTCTGGTGAGTGGAAATCCGGATTTTCGCTGAATTGCTTTGAGCAAACTGGTATTCTATTAATTGGTTATAACGGCTGTGGATTTCTTTCTCTGACAGGCTGATCCATACATAATCATTTCTCTTGGAAAACAGAAGTTTTCAAGCCGTGATAACTATGTTCCAAATAGCTTGAACCCAGTCTTCGGCAGGTGCGTTTAAAACTATAGCAACCCAGAACTTCAACAAATCCTTAAGTTATTCTGAATTGTTGTCGCCTACGTTAAGACCTCCAAGACTCAGATGGAAAGTTCTCCGCCATAATTTCTCAACCCTTTTTAATTTCTTCACACACAGCATGTTCGAATTTACTGCCAAGATCCCAGTGGATAAAGATCTCTCGATTTCTGTGATGGATTACGATCTGATCAGCTCGGATGATCTTATTGGTCAAACGACAATTGATTTGGAAAACCGTTTCCTAACCAAACATCGTGCCATCTGTGGATTACCTGAATCTTACTGCGAGTAAGTGTCCATTTCATTTAGTTCAACAATACAGCATTTCTGGATAATCCCAGATCGTTTTAACTGAACACGTTAGCGAAAGCATTCCAGCAAACTTAATAACAAGCTTGTATATTTTCAAGTCATTGTACAAATCATTACGTAAAGCTGATAAAACGTGAGTGACGGCTACATAGCGTAACAGAATCCCCACTCGAAAGAAGTTATTGGACCAAATTGTTATTACACCAAGTTATTAGACCAAAGTCTATCAGGTTTTTACTGAAAAATCCCTATAGCAAGTTTTCTGTACCTTTAAAGTTTAAAGTTAAGAGCATATTAACATGTTCTAAGGTTTTTCAAACGTCTAACATCTTGTGTCATTTCCAGAACTGGTCCTAACAAATGGCGTGACATGCAGCTTCCCACGGAGATCTTGGATTCTTATTGTGAAAAACGAAGTTTGGGGAAACCACGATACAATGGCGACACGATAGTCAGAGTCGATCACAAGGATTACACCTTGGAAGAGTTTGGTAAGTTCTAAAATCCTGCTCATTTTTAGACAGGAGAAGACAAGATAGAAAAGAAGAGAATACATTCAAACTTTTTCTAAATTATATTCAAATGAGGTTAAATGATAGTCGTACGATTCAACATTGCACTGACAAGGTGATTCACAGCCATTACTTCTTTCTTCCTTCCGTTTGTTAACCTTTTCAACTGCCATTTGCTTTGCAGAGGATGGGATTATTCTGCATCAACATCTGGGAGCGACACGTGAACGCTTGGCTCTGCATGTCCTCAACTCGTTTGGTGAAATCGTGCCAGAGCACGTCGAGACAAGACCACTTCACACAGCCATACAACCCGACATGGAACAGGTGAGTTCAGGAAAAGTTGAAAAATTTACTTGATCAAAACGACAATTCAAATCTGCAGTGTTTACAGCCTTTGTTAACAAGTTGTTAACCAATAATAGCCACATCCCACCAGCTGGGGTTGAATTGTTTCCAAGACATCCTAGTAACAATTTCAGTTAAGATAATATTCCTGGAACTCAGAATACATTCCTTGTTTTGTAGGGTAAACTACAATTGTTTGTTGATGTTTTCCCCAAACACATTGGTGCGCCAAATGAACCCGTTGATATTGGACCTCGAGTTGCCTCTAAGTAAGTGGAGAACTGTTGTTTTTTCCAAACATCACTCTGTCCAAACGTAGTTTTAACTCGATATTAAACGTAAACAATTTTGTTTCAATTCCTAGGTATGAACTTCGTGTCATCGTCTGGAACACATCTGATGTTTATTTGGAAGAAAGTAATCTTGTTGGTGAACAAATGAGTGACATTTATGTAAAATGGTACGAGATATGATTATCTGTTGAAGCGAAAGAACTTATAGGCTATGAAAACAAAGACGTGATAGAATTGCTGGGGTTTTTTGTCATCATGAATTATATTCTGTACGTTTAAAAATTGGGTCTTTTATCTTTAGTTGGATAGCTGGAATTGAAGATAAATTGAAGACGGATACCCATTATCGGTAAGGGAACTCGTTTCCATTGCAACTGAGAGTTTTTTGGCGATCTTAACACAATTATTTTGGTCGTGTCAAAGCTACGTGCCGAAGTAACGTCTTCATCTTTTTGCTCAATATAGATCTTTGAACGGTGAAGGTAACTTCAACTGGCGTATGTTGTTCCCATTTGATTATCTCGAAGCTGAGAAGATAATGGTGGTAAAGAAGAAGGTAAAATAAACTGTCAAAAACCGTTCAGTGCAAAATATCAATTTGAAGTTGCGTCTAGATATTACAATAATCAGTTTCAATAGACTTGATTATATCGAAAAAAACATAAACGAAAGTAAACAAGACATGCATATCATTTGTGTAGCCTACGTTTGTCTCAATTTTTATTTCTTACTTTTAAAGCTTCATTTCTGGAGTTTGGATACGACTGAAGAGAGGCTCCCACCTCGTTTGGTTATTCAGATTTGGGACAACGACACATTCAATCCTGATGATTTCATAGGTAACTCGTTTATACGTTATATATTTACACCGTGAACAATGGTACGCTTTGAATCCAAATCAATGATAAGAAAAGCAACGGATTGTGAACATAGATATCCTGATTCATCATTTCCAATTGCTTTTCAGGTTCGGTTGAGCTCCCCTTGGATCAATTGCCGACGCCATTTTCAAAACCAAAGAAGATCAAGGACATTAACTGTCTCGAAGGCAGAAAGACAACGTCTTTGTTTGATGTGAAGCAAACGTTCGGTTGGTGGCCCGTATTTGGCGAAATTGAGACGAAAGGAAAGAAAGAGCCCGCTTTGATGGTACGAAAACCTCAAACTAACAAACTTACATCTTAAAATGTAGAGTTACAGAGTTTTGCTTGTGTATTCGCGAAAGGAAAATGTCGACGTTTTAAGATTCTTTTTTTAAACATGCCCCTTGTTGTGTGTTGAAACACAACACTATTATGATTTACAGATTACGTACAGAAACAGCATTTGAGTAATTCTGGTGTGGTTTACTTTAAACCTTAATTTTAATATAATTTGTTGACAATGTTTAGGGGAAGATTGAGCTGACGATGGAGTTACTGAATGAACAAGAGACCCTGGAGAAGCCAACTGCCAATGCAAGAGACGAACCAAACGCACATCCCACATTGTCTGAACCAAAGTAAGAAGTGAATTGCAAGAGTTTTACTCCTCAAAACCATTCCTAATTAGGAGTCTCTCTGAATCGTAATTTCCTGGGGTTTAAAGACGAGCTTTGGGGAACATTGCAAGCTCAGGGCCTGTTAACACGAGCCAATCTGTCGGATCCAATTCACCTCTGATGGATGTTTTACATTCTGTCGACTGGCAAAGTATAGGGGCAGCAAATCAACTAAAGCCAATGCATTGCTACTTTATACCAATAACAAACTACACTCATACGTCAGAACTGAATTGGATCCAACAAATTTGGATCATGTGAACCGGCCTTAATTCTTCGAGATAATCGAAGAATAATGAACCGTACAATGTGTAACTTTTTTGTTTATTCTATCCATAGTCGTCCAGCCACATCCTTCTTCTTCCTTACATCACCCTGGAAATCGTTCAAGTTCATCATTTGGAAGAACTTCAAATGGTATATCATTGGCTTTATTCTTCTACTCCTATTGATTGGTATCATCGTTCTCTTCCTCTATGCAATGCCTGTGAGTATAGTTTTTATAATGAACAATTTCTGTGGTACCAATTTACTCTCTTCCGACAAAAACAATAACATTCGTTGAATTCTTGTTCCAGGGTTACACCGTTAAGAAGATATTCAAGGTCTAAACACAGTGGCGAAGAAGCCAGAACTAAATAATAAAGTTCGTAGTTAGTGAGTACCCTAGAATTGAACAATTTTATGCTTTCATTTTAACAATTGTCTACCTCAGAATGCATGTTCGTCTATATATTTAAAGGGAGTACGCTTGTCTTCAAAGATGGAGCGGTGCATTCCATATAGTGTTTGATTTTTTTCTTTGATATAGAATTAATAAACATTAACGTATTGTGATTTAGCAAGTTAAACTTTCTGGTTATGCAAAATTGAATTAAATTAATAATTGATACTCTTATAATTGAAGTATATTTTTCTATATCAAACCGTTCATTTGTGACATCGATGTACAGGGTGTCCCAAAAAATGTCCCCTCTATTGAAATCAAGCTTTTGTTAGATCTGATTGCCTTAATTTTATGAAAAACCCAATTGAAGGCAAGACGCTTTATTTGAATGCCTCAACCTAATAACTACGCTATTTACACACTACTGCGTTGATCATGCATTCAAATTCCAACAAAAGCTTAATTTCAAATAGGAGGGACTTTTTTTGGACATCGATATAGTTGATGCAGGAGTTCCATCATACTAGGCTTTGAGCCAACAATCTGCAATCATTATCGTCTGCGGTTTGTCTAAAATGCATTGTCTATCGAAAAATAACATAATTAAACTAACAGGCCTGGTAAATTCGGTTCCCAACTATCGGTGACAATCGAGTTTAGCAGACAATCAGCATCGTGCGAAAAACTTTTCAAGCCTGAAATTATACTTTTAAAAAATTATTCACCTCCTCAAACTTTCCTTAATATTGCAACTATACCGAGCTATTTACTGAGATGAGACGAAACAGCAGGAAAACGTCGTTGAATTGGACAAAATTACCATTTTTGAAAAAATTAAATATATTCACGCTGATATTCTGAAGTACTCACTCAAGCATAGCAATATTTTCATTAGCTTATCCACAGGATTGCCGATTCGCTTCGCGAGTCAGAGTGTGCTCTTTTAAAACGAAGCTTGTTTAAATAAGCGTCGAAAGCAATTTCATAAACTTTGTCGCGATTTCCTTGTAAAATTGGACTCGAATTTGTTCTCAAAATGCCAAGGAAACATCCAGCGAGCGATAGTCTGAATTGGTAAATTGGGAAACGTGGAGAATGGAGCGAGAGAAACGAATTATATCAGAGTACATACTGAGAGGTCTGAATTTCAAAGCAACGAATTTGGTTGGTTTGCAAAAGAAGACGAAAGGAAGCGCTCCATTCGTTGTGCTTGAATTCAAAGGTTAGATCGATTTGTTTTGTCAAAATGATAGTTTAATATTGCTTTTATCATCGTGGCTCCAGTATAGGATTAGTTTTAATACGATATATTGTATGTTACGGAGTATAGCTGGGGTAACCATTAGGCATTACGCCATTAGTGTAAGTTGTAACAGAGAGAGAGAGTGTAGCTCTTGTATTTGTCGGGAAACAACTAGAGTAAAATATGTTCCCGGGGTGGAATTTCGTTCTCCCCAAACCTTTATACGTATCGTTTTTTTTGGCTGACATCTCTTCTTATAGAAACGTTGGTACAATTCATCCCTAGTGAATAGAGTATTGGAAAATTCAGCCAATATATGTATAGTTGTCGGACTTTTTATGATATATTTCCCTGCCAAACTTGACCGGTAATTTGATATAACAAAAAGGTAAACGTGCTGTGGTAGGAACTTTGCCGAAATTGATGGTTTACTGTGTCGAAAAGCACGTTTTATATTCTGTCTTGATTATAGTTGGAAATTTCTAGGGCAATTTAGCAGCGCATTTCACACCGTCTAAATGAAATGTAACGTTAGAATATTTGACTTTGCGCCTTGTTTTTTAATATATTGTGCTATTCGACATGAATTGAAACCTAAAACTTCCGCACAAATTTTAAATTTTTTGGTTTGGGTAAACGGCGTAAAAACCGGGTCAAAAAGCTTTGAAAAAGCACAGATTTTTGTGTGGGTTTAACGCTCCCTTTATAAAAAGTCGAGAGTTCATTCAAATTCATTATGTTTTTATTAATTTCTGACTTTACCATTTTCACTATGGAGATTTCTATTATTTTGTCACCATAAGTGGCCGATGCGCGTGATTAAGCTTTTTCAATTCGCCCGCGATGATATCTGCATAGTAATGCCCACTGGAGTATGCTGACGAATATCCAAGATATAGGACTTGCTTTTCGCAAGTAAACAAATAAATTCATGATTTGATTTCAATGACATTCAATCACATGATTTGATTTCAATTTCATATATAGTATCAAAATTGTACGACATCTTTAACCGTATGTTTGAGCGTAAGTGATGTAAGGATGTCTGATAACGTCATCAATAACAAAGAGATGGTTATTTGAAAGCTATTAAAAGTAAATTTAGGCAAGTCCAACAAGCTACGAACTTCTTCCTAGTTTTGTCAGTTTCCGTCGTACACGAGATTTAGTCAAGGAGCCCACGGATCATTCCGCTGATTGCTTTTTGTCTGAAAGCCAACCTGCAAACGAGCTCCACAAATGAACAGCGATCTCGCTAGTTTGGTTTCTGTTAGTTCGGGCATTTTTCGAACTGAATTAACTGCCCCTTGAGATCGAGAGTCGAGAATTTTCGTGACTGCGAGGCTTTTATTCTTCTATTAAATAACGCTATTTCGATCAGATAATGAGTCTTGAAACTTCCACAAATAAGTCAGTAACATTTCCACAAAAAATTTCCATTCTCAAGACTGCCATATTGTGCGAAGGATCGTGAGGGACATACTTGACATGACCTACTTTCATATTTACCAATATTCATAAGTTTTTTAAGCAGATAGCTTCTTCACTTGAGATTTCGTTAATAAATTGAAGTGGAACTTGTCCTTGTCTCCTCTGCCTCGAAAATATTCAATTCTTCGACACAAATGTTCCCATGTGAAAGTAAGTGATCCACTTCAAGCCAATACGGGCGAATCTTGGCGCTATTTTTGGCACATTTGAAATACACTTCGCCGTCCATATTTGCAATCACCACTGGGCCATCGTTTGCTACAATACAGCTACTTTGCTCAAGACAAGGATCGGCTTTCTTCCTTATTATTCCTCGCTGTAATTTTTTTTTGCAGCTTATAATGGTTGCCAAGAAGAGCATAATAGTAAAATACACTTTGCAATGGTCTATCATCTCGATTACCTCACGAAAAACTACACAGAATCCATCGTATTTCGGAAGAAAGTTTTAAAATCTTCTGTTTTGTTCTTCTCTTCAGGTGTTAAAAGGAAAACTGAGCCTGGAGCTACGGAAGAATTAGAAGCAATTTGGAAGGAGGTTTGTCTCAATTCAAATACGACCCAAATATGATATTTTTCTACGAGTCTTTTTTTCCTCTTTGAATATCTTTCAGGCACTGGAATGGGACTTACACGCACGAGACCTGGAACCGACTGATTATGTTAAAGTGAAAATCTTTGAACAGGAGAAATACTGGAAAAACAGGTAATCAGAAGAATCTCCTGGTTGTGTCTTGACATGTAAATAAAATAAGTCTAATTTCATCAATTAACAGCCAGTCGCCCTCGCAAAGGCCCGAAAGCTTTGCAGCAATAAATCTGCGTGGTGCACCTACAAATTAATAGTTATGCGGTATTATTTATATACATGTGAAGGTTCGGACTGAATTACGATATATTTAAATGGCTTTCAGACTTCTAGGAAAAGCGAAGGTATTTTTGGAGTCACTTGCGGAAAGAAAGGAAGACAAAACACATGTTGATGTCAACCTCACTGATGGCTATGGCAACCCTACTGAGGTATGTTTTGCTTGAAAACGTACGTCATTCATCTTCAAGATAGAGGGTTGTTTAGATTTCTGCTAAGGACTCTTCGCACTTCATATCGGAGTGGAATTTCCTCTTTCGCGATTCTGTTTCAATGTGCTTGTGCATCGATGTTCATTCAGGCCGGAAGTCCTCTCGTCTCTTGTCGTAACTTTCTCGATTTGTTTTGGCAATATTTTTCAATTTCTCGTTTAGTATAAATTCTCTTGCGACCTGGAATACATCTGTCCGACATCAAACGGAACTGAGGCTGAAAAAGACAAGGAAAATGCTCAAGACGACTCTGACGACGACACGGACGAAAAACGGGATTCCAAACGGTACGGGGAAAATACTTTGAAGATGTCTTTCCTTCAATGAAGACAAGTTTATTCATTCCGCCACCTTTTTGTCTTTACAGATCAGAGGAAACCAGAAAGCAACGGCTCTCTCTGCCAGACAAACCTCTTGATTTCCAGGTGTGTGAATTTTTGAGATTTGTTCTCCTTTCAAAATTCCAAAAACAGAACATCTCCTAAACTTGGCAGCTTCTTTCAAAAGAACATGGCTTCCCTCTCAATGCCACTTGACAGTGGTCTTCTTTAAGAACTTATTCGAACAGGAAACACGTTCATTCCAGCGCCTTGTCTTCTGTTAACTCAGATAGCACTCTTTTATTTTGAAATAAATTTTTCTGGGGGTTTTTACTTTAGATTCGGATTAAAGTAATCGAGGCACGTCAGCTTGAGGGCAACGACATCAATCCTGTGACCAGAGTCACTATTGGAAACAAGAAAAGACAGACGCAGGTCCGTCAGTCAACAAACAGACCTTATTACAATCAGGTATGGCGAAGTGAATATGTCAGGATAGACAGGAATATGATATACTCAACCTTGATAATAAAAATATCAGCGAATGTCGAATATGCCAGTCTATGGTATACCCAATCTTGGTAATAAAAATATTAGTGAAGGTTGAACACACTGGAATATGGTTATCTTTCTATTTAAGGAAGCTTCTCGTTTCTTTCTCCCAAAATATATTCCTTTATTCTATTCTCTTTTCAGACTCTCTTTTTTAATTTCTCGGCAATAACTCCGAATGATCTTTTTGGCCAGGAGATAAAATTCGAGGTGATAAATCTGACTGAATAAATATATGACCATGAATTTCAATTCTTTATATATTTTTTGTTAAATTCTTAAATGCCATAATAGAATGTAATAAGATTCATATTTATAGAGACATAATTAAATGAGGAATTTATAGTTCTTCTTCAAACTCTTAAGGTTTTCAATTCCCGTTTGTTACGTTCAGACTCATTGCTCGGAGTGTTCAAGGTGAGCTTTTGTAGTTCATATGTCAACTTGAAAATGAACCGTTTTCGTTGCCAATCCATTACTATCTTTCTCGTTTAGTGTGATGTGGGATTTGTTTACGATTCTAAAGGTACGGTAGATCTTTAATATACGCTTTCGACGACAACGTATTTTCCCTGCAAAAACTGCATTATTAAGCCAACTGTTTGGTTTTCTTCCATGGCATGTCGTATCGATGCATGTTTACTTCCCTCAAACCTTTACAAAAAGCCTGACAATTTATTTTGTTTTCAAGATCACTGCCTACTTCGCAAATGGTTACTACTTACTGAACCGGAGGATCAGGAAACTGTAGTCAAGGTAAATTCCTTCTCGTATTAGTACAAGGTAATATATTGCGAACACACTACAATCAGATCGATTGTCAAAACAGTGAATACAAATTCCGACCATAAGGAATATCCAAGAGCTTTGATTGAACGTCCTTGTGAAACGTGTGATATGCAGGTGTGAGATATGAAAAGCTCTTACATCGAGCCTCAATTTACAAATTAGTTTAAGCTAGTTGATCTCAAACTAGTTCAAGCCTTGTTCCTTTAACAGTAGCCTTGGCTTCATTCGAGCACACAAAGTGTATATTCATTTACTCTTAGGGTTTGGAACAGTCCACGGTTGGTCAAGATGAATCTCAGGACTCAGGAAAGACTCTTGCTGTATGTTGAAACATATCACGGTTTGTCGTCTGTTAAGCAACGATATATAACTAAATTTCTACGCCGTGTTTTGCAGGGTTATTTGAAGACCAGTATGGTTGTATTACAGCCTGGTGCAACTGCTCCGGTAAGTATGAATTACTAGTGCATGGCGTACACAGAAAATTGGATTTTTTTCCAGCCATAGATAGCTATAGGAATGCAACGAGAATACGTCATACTTTAGTATCCCTGCTTAGTCCAATGTCAAACGATTGTATTATCGATGAAAAAGTTCTACTATGTCATTGCTTTGCAATTTGTCGGCCTTAAAATATGGAAAATTAGGGATAAAGCAACGATGACTATCGTTCTTGCAAGGATAGCGTTCATGGCTAACTTTTGTATTTTGAAATATACGTTTTCGTCTTCTTTCAGCCGTTAGAAAATATTGGTAGTGATCCAGATGAGGACGACATCGAAGCGTAAGAAACAAAATATTTTTATTGTTGGTTCAATAATGTCCATAATATATCTAACAGAGAATGGCGGATTTGTTGATATTTGCAGTGATAGAGTTTGTTTTTTTAAAAGCACTAACTAAATATAACATATTTTTCTTTCAAGGAATTTGCTTCGTTCGCCCGGCGTTGCTTTGACATCTGCAGTGTTTTTTATAAAGATCTACAAAGCGGAGGATCTTCCTCAGAGTAAGCTGCAAGCATGAATGTTTTTCTTGTCTGAAACTGACTGCTGCATGAGAGTAACCACGTCTTTGAGCTAAAAGCCCATGAATACATTGAAAGAATCATAGGCATACATTGCAAGAATCGTTTGTATCTTCAAAGTTTGCTTTTTACGTTGTAGTGGATTCCGATTTTGTTCAAAACGTAAAGAAGACTTTAAGAATTCGCAAGGTAAAATACGTTATCCCAAACCCTTGCAATGTTCTACGTATGTAGCTTAATGCCACACCATCAAATTGGATTCTTTATCATGTTTGACTTAAATTCTTTGACTTCAAATATTATGTATTGTTTCTAATTTTACAGCAAGCAAAAGATTTGGTCGATCCGTACTGCATTGTCACATTTGCTGGAACCAAGGTTTGTCGCAACAAAATTTGTCCAACCAGACATCATCGTTCTTTTCTGAACAAAATAACAAAACTTCAATGATCCTCAGTGTCGCATTCTGCCATTTTCCGTCTGTCTTTAACTCTATGATCCATATTTCAGGCGACCAGCGAAATCATTTATTCTTCCAACAATCCGGCATTCAACGAAATTCTTCATTTGCCATTCCAAGTAAGATGATTATTATATCTCGAGTCTTCACACCAGCATAACGAACTGCGTTCTATTTAAACTGCGAACATATAGTTCTGAAGTTTTAGAGTTAGGTAATCTTTCAAACTAAACATTTTAGTGTAGTTTTACCGTTTTACCACAAATCCAATCGTACGCTTTAGAAATCTTTTCAGTTTCATTAGATCTAAACTGATACTCACGGAATTGCAATGAAGAAAATGAAGCAGTAGTTAGTTCATGAAAACCGCTCTTTTTAACTATCGTTTTAGTTTCCGTCCATGTGTGATAGATTAAAGATTCAGTTGGTCGACTGGTGAGTGAAATTTCTCGAAATATAATATCGTTTTTAAATCAAACTATTTATATAAACTTTTTACTGATACACAACTATTTTAGCGAAGAAATAATTCGAAGTCTTTCATAGGGACCGGCTCACGGCAGACGATGTCATCGGTACAAAATTTTTTCCACTGTCAGAGATTTCGGGAAATGGCGGTTCAGGTGTGGAATGCTATCATACAATAAGAATTATTTTTAATTGCTTTTGAGGCAGCGTGCGTTGACGATTTGCTTGACAAATTTGCTTGGTGTAATTGCAAAACTAACTTGTATTATAATATTTACCATTCAGGCTATCTCCCATGTTTCGGACCCTGTTTTGTAAACCTGTATGGTTCGACCAGAGAGTTTTCGGATTTGCCAGACGAATATGAAGAACTAAACCAAGGAAATGTGAGTTGTTGTCGACAAAGATCATTTATCACTGCTCCAACAACAATAGTTTTGTGTGTTGAACTTTCATGAACAACCGGCTCAGCGTCTTTGTTTTTGAGTGATGAAAAACTGCCTCAATCGTTTCTGAAATTCAACGAGGAGTAAAGGACTTTAGGAATATACAATACTATAAAGCTGACGTTTTCTTTTGCACATATTTAGGGAGAAGGCGTCGCTTATCGTGGTCGAGTGTTGATTGAACTGGAAGCAAAACTCAACACGAGCATCACCACGGAGAAAGACACAATAAGTCAATCAGACGTTCTCAAAGTCCAGGTGAGAAACAGCTAGAAAACTCTCCTGGAAGTTTGCATGTCCAATTTGTTATGTAAACTTTCGAAACAAGTTTACGTCTAAAGTTCAGGGGTCGGTTGTATCAAGCCCGTTTAGCTTAAACGGTGGATAAGTTCAAAATAGAAAGCAGGTCTATCGTTTTATTTAACAAGCAAACTAAATGCTTTTGACCTTAATACAAAGACACTGTTTACAATATATTCATTGCATAATATTCAAGTTGACATATTCAAGAGAGAAGTAAGAGTGTTATTTAATTTTGACTTATCCACCGTAAGCTAAACGGGCTTGATACAACCGGCCCCTGATGTTTAATAAGTCTTATATGGTTAATAAACTAAAGGTTTGTGAATCCCAATTATCATTTTGATCAGGAAAGATTTCAGAATTGTGTTTTAATTGTTTCCCATCGTCTTCAGCCGTTCATGCGACGCTCAAAGTTTCGTCTTCTTGCAAGTTTTCTTGAAGCAACCATGTTGTCAGTTCACGACTCGCCAATTGAATTTGAAGTCAGCATAGGTGAGGAGAATTTGATCAAGTCA